CTAAATGGTTATATTTCATACTGCATGTTCCCACATCAGTTGCCAATGTTGCTGCTAGGGCTAAATGCAGGGCCTTGCCCATCCTAGACAAGTACTCCTACTTGTGATCCTCATCCCCAGCTCTGAAATAATACTTTGAATATCACTGGGGCGGTGGTGGTGCACACCTTTAATCCCAGCACTTGGGAGGCAGAGGCAGGTGGATCTCTGTGAGTTCAAGGTCAGCCTGGTCTACAGAGCAAATTCCAGGACAGGCACCAAGACTACACAGAGAAACACTGTCTTGAAAAACCAAAATAATAATAATAATAATGATAATAATAATACTTTGAATATCGAGGACTACACCCCTTTGTTAGATTTGTTTTCTTCAGATTCATCTTTGTCTATCAATTTTCTTTTTTTGTGATCAAAGAACCTAATGTCATCTTCCGGGTTACCTGTAATTCATCTCACGCTATGATTGCAGTACTGTTCATTTTCCTTGTACTTTGACATTTAAATCTTTAATCTCTTAGGCTTCCACTAGTATAAAAGCACGAATCTGTTTTTCTAAAGACAGAAGTGTCCCAGTGACATTTGGTCAGCCCATCTCCTCCCTACTGCAATGGGAAAAGCTGACATTAGACACAGGAAATCTGAAAGCTCCACACACCCAGAGTAACACTGCCCATACTCTAGACAGTTTGGGCTTGTGGATAAAGGTGTTTGGACCAAGGCCTGACAAACCTAAGGTAGATCCCCAGATCTCACGATGTGGCAGCAGAGAACCAACTCATGAGAGTTGCTTACTTTCCACACATGATGTGTCAAACATACAACTTCATGCACACACACACACACACACAAATGAAACTTACCCATTCTTGGAGAACTGCCAGGACATGGTACTAGTTAGATGAAAATATTCTTAAATTGACTGTAGTAATGGTTGCACCATTCTTGTGAATACAATAAGAGCCACTGAATTGCATAGTTTTTAAAATTTGTTTTTTAAGATATATTTATTTATATTATGTATGAGTGCCCTGTCGGTATGTATGCCTTTATGCCAGAAGAAGGCATCAGATCGCACTAGTGATGGTTATGAGCCACTGTGTGGTTGCTGGGAAATGAACTCAGGGTATCTGGAAGAACAGCCAGTGTTCTTAACCACTGAGCCATCTCTCCAGCCCTGAACTGCATACTGTTTAAGGGAAGCCTTGTGGTCCCCTTTTCACATTTGATAGAGGCATTGAGTATATGATGAGACCGGGCTTATATAAATTGCATGGTATGTGAATCCTATTTCAACAAAACCTACACATAAAACCAAAATGTAAAAAATAAATCCTACCTTCAAGTTTCTTTTTTCTTTCCTTTTGTTTTTGTTTCTCTGTTTTCCAGACAGGGCTTCTCTATAAAGCTCTGGCTTTCCTGGAACTCACTGTATAGACCAGGCTGGCCTCAAACTCACAAAGATCCGCTTGCCTCTGCCTCCTGAGTGCTGAGATTAAAGGCGTGTGCCACCACACCCAGCTCCATTTATGCGGCTTTTAAAGGTTAAAGCACTGAACCACACTTTCAGTTGACTGTACGGTTATTCATCCCCTGAAGCTTTCTTACTTGTCTTTAATACTGTCCCCTGGTAGTCCTATATGCTAACAACAACAAAAAGCTGTTCTGACTGGCTTTTTCTGCCAGGTGAGGTGTGTTCGTCATCAACAGTGTTATTTATATTAATCATTTACATTCTTATGAAAGGAATAGTAAACCACCGTTTTACCTCACAGGTCACCCCTACTACCACCTGGGAGAACAAAGGCTTCTCCCCAGTATGAACTCCCTGCTGTTGAATAAGATGAGCCCTCTGACTGACCGCCTTCCCACAGCCAGCACATTGAAAGGGTTTTTCTCCTGGGTGTATTCTCTGATGCTGAGCGAGATGGGTGCTCTGGCTGAAGCTCTCCCACGTTCAATACATTCATAGGGTTTCTCCCCAGTATGGATTCTCTGCTGAGGAGTAAGGGTGACATTTTGTTAAATGTTTTTGCACAGCCATTACATCTTTATCTGTTTTTATCCAGGGTCTTATATGTATTTTTCATAACTGAATTATTTTCTTTCCTGTACCAAAAGTATATATTCTCGCTTCCATGGGGGTGGGGAATCTGTATTAGATAAGATAATGAATCCATATGGAAATTTGTCCCAGACTTGGTCTCTTTTTCACAATAAAGGTATCTATTTTAGGTCTCATGCCTAAAATGTGTTTTCTGACTGACTCAATTTCAAACAAGTCTTTACATCTCTGTAGAGAAGAAAGCCTTGTGCACACAGATAAGCACTGGAGAAACCAGGAAAGTTAAACACACAGCTCACCTCTTCAAAGGAATGAGGTGCGAAGCTGCTCTTCCTAGGATGCTAGGAATGATGTCGTTTTACGGCCTGGTGATCCTTTGCTCTCTGATGAGACAGGCCCTGCCCTTATCTACCAGAATTTATGTTTTACTTATCCAAGACCCTTTTCTCTAACCCTTGAGCATTGTTTTTAGACCACAAACCCATTCTTACAAATGATGTCACTTGTGCCTTACAACAGCCTAAGTGACTTCTGTGTTATCTTAGGGCCAGGCCAGTCCTGACACCCACAGGCATCATGTTTACCTCAGTCAAACTCCCTAGACCCTAAATCTTGGCCACTATCTCTGAGTTAACTGTACCCATTCTTGTGAAAGAAGCCAGATGTTCTTTGTAACGAATCTCAGTGCAAACATGCCTTAAAGTGTTGTGCAGTTGGGGCTGAGTTAATTGTTACCTGAACACTTTTCTCAAGAACTGTGCTGTGCCTAAATAAGACTAAAGTAAAATGATCTGGGCCATACTCTAGAAGTCCTGGTCCAGCACCAGTAACAATAAAATCGGTCATTCTTGTCTCTTTGTGGATAATGTTCTCCTGCCTACTGTAAAGCCTGCAGGGAAATCACCACACATCTCCAATTTTCACCTAATGTGGAACATTCCAGGGCATACTTTGTAAGTATTTCCATAATTATTGCCTAGGAAAATTTCTCTTCATAAATGTCCCAGGCGGTGGTGGCGCATGCCTTAATCCCAGCACTTGGGAGGCAGAGGCAGGCAGATTTTTGTGAGTTTGAGGCCAGCCTGGTCTAGTAAGTTCCAAAACAGCCAGGACTGGTACACAGAGAAAGCCTGTCTTGAAAAAAAAAAACCAAAATAAATAAATAACACTATTTGGACACAATTCTTCAGTCACCCACATGTACTCCAAGTCTAAAAAATATTGAGAGATTTCCTTTAATAAATGTTAGGAAGGAAATCTTAAAACCAAGTGGTTATTGAAGCCCAGAAGAGGTCTGTGGTTTTTACTATTTCTTTTCTTTTTTTTTTTAAAGGTTTATTTATTATGTATACAATGTTCTGCATGCATGTACGCCTGCACTCCAGAAGAGGACGCCAGGATCTCATTATAGGTGGTTGGGAGCCACCATGTGGTTGCTGGGAATTGAACTCAGGACCTCTGGAAGAACAGCCAGTGTTCTTAACCTCTGAGGCATCTCTCCAGTCCGGTTTTTACTATTTCTTAAATAAAATCAGATGCCACAACCATCCATGTGTACCTGGAATAAGCCATCACTGGCCATAAGGTCAATACTATATACAGACTTTTCTTTGCACCAATATTTGTAGGTAGAATTTATCTCCAGCTTACATTTTTGGTGGTTTTAGTAACCTCTGTTATCAAATAACATTCTATATTCACCAACATCATTTTGTAAACTCTCCTTTTCATTTTACTTAAGAATATTTTTTTAAAGTTTTATGTGTATGAGTGTTTTCTCTGCCTGTAACTATATGTACCACATGTGTGCCTGGTACCTGAAGAGGCCAGAAGAGTACATCAGAACTGGAGTTAGGGATGGCTGTGAGCCACCAAATGGGTGCTGAGAACCAAACTCGGGTCCTCTGCAAGAGCAGCAAGTGCTCTTAACCACTAAGCTATCTCTCCAACCACAGCTTTCTTTCCTCTTACCCCAAATTTCAGTGTAAATAATAATGTGGAGGATATTTTTCCTTAAAGGTTTTATGGATTGATTTGTGAAACTACATTGTGGTTTATTCTCCTTTTGGGGTATCAGTTCATAAACACCTTTCTGTATTGCTTTCTGGTCTATCTCTTATATTGTCAGTCATGCTCATCTACACCTCTGTGTTCTCCTAGAATACCATGCATTCATCTAGATTTTCAGATTTGTGACAGAGAGTTGAGGAAAACAGATTCATATCAGTCTACTTTATTTATCTGGATTGGGCGAATCATGAGGGATCAAATTCAAGTCTTTGTATAGTTAAGCCCACACCCCAGATCTTCATAGGATTCTTTTAAGTCCTTTTGTGGTTTTATATATTTTCTCTTATTTGTCCTCAGTTTATATGTTTTCTTAAAGACATGCATATTTAATTTCATTAGATGTAGTTTTCCAATTCATTGACTATGCCTTTGATCTCTAGAAACACCAATGACTATTTATAACTTATTTTGGCTTGGCTTAGATGCTTACTTATCCTGCTTTTCTATTGTTGTGATAAAACACTCCAACCAAAAGCAACTTAGGAGAGAAAAGGATTTATTTCAGTTACACATCCAGGTCACAGTCTGTCATTGAGGGAAATCAGGACAAGAACCCAAGCAGAAACTGCAGTAGAAACTATGGGAGAGTCCTGCCCCCTGACTCGCTTTCTGGCTCAGGCTCAGCTAGCTTCTTTACACAGCTCCAAACCAGCTGACCAGAACCATGTAAGCATCAGTGGGACAGAAGTTAAGAGACAGACTTTGGTATGTATAGGAAGTATATAAAGGTAAACGTGGTAGGTTTTACCCGTGGAGAAGAAACTACTATGACAGCCAACATCAATCCAGGAGAGAGTCTGAGAGGAATTTTCCCACAAACACCGAAGAGAAGAAACTCTTGAGTGTACTCTAATGATCGTGCACTCACCTGGGCACGGACCTCTGGATGCCTCTCCTTTTATGTCCACGGCTCCCTCTCTTGATACAGTAACAGGCTCGCATCTGGTTTAAAAATGCAAAGACCTGTATATAAAAGTTGACAGTGAAGTTTGTAAGCAGGAGCTACAGTTGATCTAGAGCAGCGGTTCTCAACCTTTGCAATGCTGTGACCCTTCAATACAGTTCCTCATGCTATGGTGACCCCCAATCATAAAAGCATCTCCGTGGCTACTTCAGAACTGTAATTTTGCACTGCTATGATCTTAATGTAAATAAGATTTCCGATGGTCTTAGGCAACCCCTATGAGAGGCTCATTGGACCCCTCAGTGAGGTCACATGACCCGAAGGTTGAGAACCCCGGGTCTAAATGGTCTTGAAGAGGGACAGTGTCAGAAAATAATAAAGACATGAGAAGACACTGAGTCATAGTGCACACCAATGCTGCCCTTACCCACTGCAACCAGGTTCCTGTAGTAGTCCGGTATCACCTTCCTGTACAGACTCCTCTGGGCAAGATTCGGCCATCCTCATTCATCTTGGGAGTTTACGGCCACACTTGTGAATGTCACTAAGCCCTAAAATGACACAAACAAAATCTTAGCTCAGGTTCATGGGCTCATGTGGCTCTAGGGCACATGGATTATATTGTTCTCATTACAGGATATAAGAATGTGTGCAAGTAGCTGGGCAGTGGTGGCACACACCTCTAATCCCAGCACTTGGGAGGCAGAGGCAGGAGGCTCTCTGTGAGTTTGAGGCCAGCATGGTCTACAGAGTGAGTTCCAGGACTGTCATGGTTACACAGTGAAACTCTGTCTTGAAAAATCAAAACTAAATGAACAAACAAATAAATAAAAAGAATGTGTGCAAGCAATTACACAAAAGGTCTGAGTGACCTAGCTAGACTGTTGACTGGTTATGTTGTACATACTTTTTTTTTCTCCGAGACAGGGTTTCTCTGTGTAGCTTTGCACCTTTCCTGGAACTCACTTGGTAGCCCAGGCTGGCCTCGAACTCACAGAGATCCACCTGGCTCTGCCTCCCGAGTGCTGGGATTAAAGGCATGTGACACCACTGCCCGGCATACATACTTTTTGAAATGGAAAAATACTCCATTCCAGATACAACTCAGGAATCCCAAGTCCTTTCTACACTTTGCCGCCCTCAGCAGTGAGTCTAACTGGGCTACGATATCCTTCACAATGATCTTCACCAAGGAGGCCAGAAGATGAAATAAAATGGACTTTCTGGTGGTTTGATGGAAAAAAATGTCCCCCATAGGCTCAGGTATTGAACCCTTGATTCCTTAGCTGACAGAGCTGTTTGGGGAGGTTATGGACACTTCAGTAGAGCTTTCTAAAGGAGGTACATCACTCAGGGAGGCAGCAGGTTCTGAAGGTCTGTAGCCTTGTCCCATTTCCAGTTCTCTCTGTGTGCTCCCTATGTGTGGTTGAAATGTGACACCTCAGTGCCCTGCTCTTTCCACTTGCTTCCACACCTCTCCCACCAGGGTGGACTCCAATCCTCTGGAACCATAAGCCAAAATAGACTCTTTCGTCCATAAGTTGCTTTTTGGTATTTTATCATAGCAACAGAAAGTAACTAATACAGACTTCTTGCCAGATTATATGGGCTGTCTTGACCTTCACTCGTATAGAGGAAGGGACACTATTTTCTAATTCAGCCATTGTATCATAGGGTCAGTCAATAGTCCTTCCCCACTACTCCACAGTGTCCTCTCTTCCTGAAGCACTTTGACATGTAAGTGTTTTGTGCCTTTTCATATTTCCAATAGACTATCAACTCTCTCAGGGCCCAGACACATACTGGTTCTAAAAGTTCCCCCAAAGATTATTCTTCTACCTTTTGAGGCCCATAAAAGGACTGAACACAAGGAATAGGTTTAGATCCAGTCCTTCCTCAGATGAAAGATGAGAGGGCAATGCAATGGATTATTGAGTCCATCCCCATGGCTCCATCATTGATCAGAAACAGGAAATAGGAAGCGAGTCCCAAGCTTCTAGTCTTAAGTAACTTTCAAAGGGAAACAAACACTGCCAAATCCTTCAGCATAGAACTTTATTTTAGTAAGAGAAGAGGGAATACTAACTCACTCACCAGGGACACGGCTTTAACCAACTTGACTTCTTCCTGTTCCTTTCACTTCTTCCTGGTTCTTCATTTGTGGAAGGACTTCACACTGAAAGCATACAACTGATGGATGAGAAATAAGTTGTGGAGATCAAGTTGCAAAAATACAACTCAGAAACACACCAACAACCAGAGAGAGACGGAAAGACAGATAAACACAGACAGAGAGACAGAGAAACAGACAAACATACCAACAGACTGAGACCAACTGACCAGGTTATTCAGTGAAAACTTAAAACATAGCTGAGAATTCCCTTCCATTCTGGATTTTCAGGTTGAACACAACCAACCAATCTTGCAATGTTCCCCCCCAGCCAAACCCATTCATTAGCAGAGATGTATAGGGTATGTTGCATATTTACTATTCTTTTTCAAATTAAAAAAAATCTTATATGTATGGGTGCTTTGCTTGCATGTCTGTATACCACCTGGATGCCTGGTCCATGGAGGCCGGAGAGGGCATTGGATTGCCTGGGACTGGAGTTACAGACTGTTGTAAGCCATCATATGGGAGTTGATAACAGAAGTTAGGTCCTCTGGAAGAGCATCCAGTGCTCTTAACCACTGAGCCATCTCTCCAGCCCATGAAGGAAACTTTTAGTAACTTATCTTCAGTAGCAGAAATTAATTACTGTATCTTCTTTGCTTCTTTCTAATTTCTAGTTTACTAAAAATAGTAGTCATTATAGCCATTGCAAAAATAGTAATTATTAGTGTGGGAAAGTAGATGTTTGGCCTAATTTGCAGTAATTCTAAATGCCAGCTCTGTGGCACCAGAAAGGTTGAATTATCTTTTTGCTTTTAAGATTTATTTTTATATTATGTGTGTGAGTGGTTACATGCATGTATGTGTACCATGTGCATGCGTGGTGCCTGTGGACACAGAAGAAGGCATAAGATCCCCCTGAAACTGGAACTATAAGTGGTTGTGAGCTGCCATGTGGTTGTCAGGAATTGAAACTGGGTCCTCTGGAAGAGCAGCCAGGGCTCTGAACCATCTAGTCCTTTAACACTCTTACTCTCCATAATCTTTCAAAGAAAGGAGGGAGTAATATCACCATTTTACATATCAACCTCTAGGAAGGCTTTTTCACAAACCAGCCTGTAAAAAATGAGAAATAGTCACCAAGCTAGGGTGCCTGACCCCAGTACTTTTTATTCAAGTAGACACCATAAAATACACCTCCCTGTGAAATTAGTCAAGATTTGATGAGGTGGTTTCCTGTAAAGCCATATTCCCCAAAGGCGATAAATTCAATACAACACACAGCCCTTGCGGATTTCAGAGACCTGTCATGAGACCCAATTCTCCATTTGCTTTATGACAAGTGAGTTTTGATAAAGTCCCTTATCACCTTCCATGACTTGATCCTTTGATTATGAAGGGAGAAAGTAGCTGAATTCTGAACTTTTTTTAAAAAAAATATTTATTTTACTGCATGTGTATGGGTGTGTACCTGAGTGTGTGTATGTGCACCACATGTATGCAGCAGCCCAAGGATGTCTGAAGAAGGCATTGGATCTCCTGGAACTGAAGTCACAGATGGTTGTGAGCCACCATGTGGGTGCTGGAAATTGGACCTGGGTCTTCTGTATGAGCTGATAAATTTCTTTGGCCCCTGACTCTGACTTCTTTAGTACAAATTCCATGGCCTTCTCAAAAGATTATAATAAAAATGAACACTTACTGAATCCCGATGTGGCAGGGACCACACCAAGTTGAACACAACTGTAAAAAGGAGAATGGGGATTCCCTACAGTCTTGTGAGGTTGTCTTAATACTCCCGAAAGGTCTTAGAATGTCATGAGACCCAGACTGTATCTGTCACATAACGAGCACTCAATAAACATTAGCTATTATAACTGTATCCAGGGAAGCAAGCAACTGAAGCCTGAGCAACTGAGTGTACTGGAGTGAATAAAACACTTTAAGTGGTTGAGAGTCCTATGAACAGCAATTCTTGTCCCCTCCCAGGGTGGACAGAGACAGCAAGGAAGCAAGAGAAGTTTGGGAAAGGTGAACATACTCTTGCAGAGAATAAAGTTGGAATCCCTTGGCATTTCTAAGTAAAGCTGTGACCTTCCCTCCAACCCAGCCATGACAGTACCAGGATCTGGCGGGTGAAAAACTAAATGCTGATGTCATTGAACAGCAGTAGAGCACTCAGAAGAAATGTTCTAATGGCTGGTATTCATTCCGCTGAATTCTGGGTAACGCAAAGGCCTAGAGGGCAGAGTCTGGTTAAGTGACTCTGGGCAAGTCAAGGTCCCTTCCTGAACTCAGCTTCACACTATAAACCAAAGTGGCCCTTCAAATCTTTAGACTGGAGTTCACCAAGCCCGGGAGACCACTGACACCCTCCTCTAGCACTTGGAACTTCAAACACCATCTTCCTCAAATCTCAACTTCCCCTTTTTTAAGCCACACCCAAACCATTTCTCATTCTTATCTCCATTTGCTTTATGACAAGTGAGTTTTGATAAAGTCCCTTATCACCTTCCATGACTTGATCCTTTGATTATGAAGGGAGAAAGTAGCTGAATTCTGAACTTTTTTTAAAAAAAATATTTATTTATTTTACTGCATGTGTAGCGTCTGCTTCTGGGAGAGTCCTGAGCTCGGTCTCCTCCAGAAAAGTCAAGCATTTCTATACTTCAGCTGCCCGGACACTGTCTCTGGATCCCTGAGTTTGCCACCTGAGACCACGAACTTGATGGTGAGAATGTATCCCCCTCACCACTTAGAAGCGTTTCATTGATTCCAGCACACACTTTGCCGCTGGGACGTGAGAGCAAGCAGGCAGACAAGGTTCCAGACATCCCCCGCCGACCTGGCATCCTGTTTCACGCTCCCCCAGAGTCCTCCTCGCGATCAGTCCCACATCCCCACACTCGCACACAACACGCCCATCAGATCCACGGATGCCAGACCACCCTCGCACCGACCTGAACACCACTCTCGGCAGCCTTCCCGGATCACATCTCACTTCCACCCCCAAAGCCCACCAAGAATTCCACCTGAGAATCTGACAGAGTTGAGGCGACACTGACTTCCGGTTTCTACCGGAGGTGGTCGTGCCGTACTCCGCAATGGCAACTGGGATATGTAGTCCTCCGCCCAGCGAGTGTCGGAAGAGCTATCCCAGGAGGCTGCCAAGGGGCCTCTGCAGAAGACCACTTGTCACCCACCGCTCTCTGTTCCCTAATTGGTGTCCCCCGATTCAGAATACAGTCATTAGAAGCTTCTCAGCCTCGTATCTGGGTCCAGAAGTACAGGCGTACTACATAGCCACCACTCAGGCATGACTATCACTTTGGGAAGATGAGGAGTGGACAAGCCCGAGATGAGAAACCAAGCTTTAAAACCCCAAGAAGGCCGCTGTGGTTTCTGCAGAAGACAACTGTGGGGCAATGCGTGAGATTTAGAAGGCATCAGGGACACACACCAAAAGACAGGAGAGAAATATGTGCTTTCGTAATTGTGTACTTGTGATTTCTGAGTCTCTGTAACCTATTTCATGCTTTAGTTATTGCTCCCTGACATAATCCACCTTCATCCCCCCGGGTTTACCATTCCCTACAAGGCTGAATAGTCCAAGACTACACATCTTCACCCTGTTCAGGGCTTAATTTTCAGTGACAAAAAAGTGTTTGACACATACGATTTGTGGAACAGAAAATCGAGACAGACCTACATCCCTAACGCCCCAACCAGATGTTGAGCATAATTAAAATTTAAAAGTCACTAGCTGGGCATGGTGGCACAGGCCTTTAATTCCAGCACTTGGAAGGCAGAACCAGGTGGATCTCTGTGAGTTGGAGGCCAGCCTGGTCTACAGAGTGAGTTCCAGGAAAGCCTGGGCAATATAGAGAGACCCTGTCTCAATAAAAAAAAAAAAAAAGTCAGTTCTACTATCATTGCAAAATTGTTTAAATCCTTAAAAACACTCCTTGTGTTCTTTTTCTTGTTAACAGGCAAAGATGCTGGATGAGGCAATTTGAGCCTCTAATTGGTAGCTACTGGACTCTCTTGCTGCCTGGCTACTTTAAACAATAGGACTGCCAGCCACAACGACCAAAGGGACTACCTTCATGCAAACACAGGCCATCTTGAACATTTGTGGCATGCCTTCAGTGTGCAACTATGACAGCCTGACACAGCCAGGGCTGTTCCCAGCAGTCCACACTACAAGCCTCGGAGAACTCTTGATCCCCGATCCCTAAACTGGATGTAAACACTGTGAAAGGCTGCACACAACAAAGAGCTCCTGAATGCACAACCTCAAATGAGGGATCCAACATGTAACGAACCTGCGGTCTTTTGCCAGCAATCTCCCATGTTGGATTACATGGTTCCACTGCAGCCTCGGTTCTGAACACAGTGTACACTTCTCTGTGGATGCCGTCACTCCATGCAGTGCCAACAAAGGCTGTCTGAAGCCCCTCGACTGAGATTTGAGACTTGTATGTTAGGAACTGCAGTGTCTTCACTTGGGGTACAAAGTATTCTGTTCTTAAAGTAACAATATAAAGTAAAATAAAACGAGACTTTCAATGTTTTCCTCCTGTTGTTCCTTAGCGTGTATCAAATTCCTGTATCTTTGGATTGGATCAGCATATTTGAAAATTTAAGAATACATGTGGGACACACACACACACACACACACACACACACACACACACACACACAAATAAACAAAAAGCCAAGTGTGGTGGTGCACACCATCAATGCTTGGGAGGCAAAGGCAGGTGGCTCTCTATGAATTCAGTCATCCTGGTCTACATAGCAAGTTCCACGACGGCCAAGGCTTCACAAACAGACCCCTGTCTCAAAATAAATAAATAATAAACAATTCTTTAAAAAAAATACTTTATATGCTTGTTTAATTGTTTCCTGAAGTTGTCACATATCCTCATGGTACTCATTTTGGAAAGATAATTCATAAACATTTTAATATTTTCTATAAATATATTTCATTTATTGAGTTTTATATCATTTAATAATTTCATCTCTTCATAAACCGCTTCATAAGCTGTATTTTTCAAGTTTCTGTTGTTTGTGTTTGGAGTGTGCCTGCGACAGCACTTGTGTGAAGGTGTGAACTCAGGACAACTCGCATGAGTGAGTTTTCTCCTTCTACCACATGAGTTCCAAGGACCAAACTCAGTCATCAGGAATGGCAACAGGAGCCTTTACCTGCTGAGCCATCGCACTGGCCCAATGTTCTTGGGTTTGTTTTTGGTTTTCTGATCAGTGTTTATTATTGCCATGAAGTTAGGAACTTTTGTACCTTCTCCTCCTCCTCAACTGTAAATATCTGTGGCTTAATGTGGCCAGTCTCCAGTGCAGCCATCAACTCTGCCTCTGTGACAAAGCAATGATCACTGCTGTAGCTCAACAAAACTCTACTTTAGCTCTCTGAGCCAAATGGTCCTCATCACGATACAATTTTCCCTCTGAAGACAGAAGGAAGCACCACAAACAATATGTAAGTGACCGTGTGGCTACAAGCCAAGACAACTTCACCTACAGACACTAAAATATAACTTTCACATCATCATCAATGTTTAAAACCACTTAACACATTTTTAGAAATTTAGATTATGGTCCTTACAAAAATAATCAGTTTGCCCCAGAGTTACTTCTTGGATGTTTACCAAGAATGCATTCATAAACCAGTGACTTTAAATAGATCAGATCCTTCAGTTTTCTCATTCATAAATAATTTGTTGGTAGTTTTAAGTACACGTATATAAAACCCTGCACTTTTCCAATTGTTCTGATTCATTTGTTTCAGGTGGCCTACACACTTACATTGTCTATCCTTTTATTGCCATGTGTATAGCAGAGTTGCCTCACTGAAAGTTCTATCACCATACTTACACTCATGTAGTTCAAATCCAAAGCCATGATACAATTCAGCAGTATGGGATCAACTGTTTTGTTTTTATTTAGAGATAGCATCTCACTAAGCTGCCCCGCTGGACTTGAATTCATGAACACTAGGATTACAGGGGAGCCCACCATACAATGGCTTAGCACCAAGTTGTCACGGAAAAGAAGCAAGCCTCATCAACAACTCAGAGACTGCCTTTCTGTTCTGAAATCTGGTTTCTCCTAGCCTCATTCTATTGCATCATTTTTATCAGGGCTGACTAAAATAAAATGACCATTTTCAAAAATAAACCTTTAAAAGAGCCAAATTTTGTTTGCTGAATACTTGGCACAGATCAGGCACTATACTAAGCACACCTTAGGCATTAATACAAGTTTTGATGAGCAAATTAATTAATTTACACTCCAAAAATAACCCAACCTGACTGAAACATGAAGAACAAACCTGTAAGGGACAAAAGGGAACAAAGGGACAGAGAAGTGAACTTAATAGTCCTTTAATAAGTAGTGTAGTGGGGACGGCAATGTTTTGAGATTATGATGATGAAAGGGAGGATGGATTCCACACAAATTTGGAGAAGAGGTCCACAGGACTGGATGTGGAAGGCAAAGAGTGAGTGGACACCTCTTCAGAATGAATTCGTTGATGGTGAGCAAAGTGCGCAGTCTGCCTGAAGGCCTTCCTGCCCTTCTTGCAGTTATACGTTCTCTCTCCAGTATGGACTCTCTTATGTTGGTTAAGATGTCCGATTTGGATGAAGGTTTTCCTACATTCCTTACACTCGTACGGTTTCTTCCCAGAATGAATTCTCTGATGTACACTAAGGGACTGACGATGGCTAAAGGCTTTGCCACAGGCACTGCACTCGTAAGGCTTCTCTCCAGTGTGACATCTACGATGGCAAATGAGGGATGACTTGGTCTTGAATGCCTTCCCACACTCCACACACTCATAAGGCCTCTGGCCGGTGTGGAGTCTCTGATGTTGAGTGCAGGATGAGTTATCCCCAAAGGCCTTCCCACACTCCACACACTTATAGGGCTTCTCTCCAGTATGAACCCTCTGATGTTGAATGAGGTGAGTGGTCTGGCTGAAGGCCTTGCCACATTCCTTGCACTCATACGGCTTCTCTCCCGTATGAGTTTTCTGGTGCTGTGCAAGGTGAGCCTTCTGCGTAAAGGCTTTATTACAAACCTTACATTCATAAGGCTTCTCTCCTGTGTGAATTCTCTGATGAGTGGCAAGCTGTGAGCTGATGCTGAAGGATTTCCCACATTCCCCACACTCGAAGGGCTTCTCCCCCGTATGGATCCGCAAATGACTAGCAAGGTGTATATTCTGCCTAAAAGCTTTCCCACATTCTTTACATTTAAAAGGCTTTTCTCCAGAATGCACTCTTTGATGCTGAGTGAGTGATGCGTGATGGCTGAAGGCTTTTCTGCAAATATCACACTCATACGGTTTTTCTCCAGTATGAATCCTTTGGTGCACAGTGAGGGATGAGCCGTATCGAAAGGATTTGTGACACACATCACATTTGTAAGGCTTCTCTCCAGTGTGAATTCTCCTATGTTGATTAAGCCCTATGTGATCACTGAAGGCTTTACCACAATCGATGCAATCAAAGGGTTTCTCCTCGGTGTGATAGTATCTCCAGTGACGAACAAGGGAGGTGTTCTGTATGAAAGCTTTGCCACACTCGATGCACTCATACGGCTTCTTGCCTGTGTGGCACCTCTGGTGTCGTGCGAAAGAGGAGCCATCACTGAAAGCTTTCCCACACTCATCACATTTATAGGGTTTCTCTCCGGTATGAATTCTCTGGTGAACCGTAAGGGATGAGCTCTGGGTGAAAGTTTTCTTACATTCATTACATTTGAAAAGTTTTTTGCCTGCATAGATTCCTGTTTCTTTTATGACCACTGAATTTGGGGGAAAACTTTTACCTGAATCACAATTATAACTTCTCTCTTCTGAACTGTTCAAATGAAACCATCTTCCAGATTTGATATAAACACAATCTCTCCCCTCTGAGAAGGCTTTGTTCTGAGTAACGGTCTCTTGCTCAAACAGTGTGTCCTTACCATTCCTTTCAAACACACACTCAGAATCCCAATTTTCTCTGAAGGTGGAGCACTCAAGTTCAGTGCTGGAAGTTCTGTCTGCCACCCTTTCGGCCTTTGAGTCCTGCCTTGGAAACAAATCCTGGGCCTCATGTATAGACTGCTGGCCTGAAATAGATGAGGAAACGTGATCTCCTTTATTATGTATCAAGAGGAAGCGATCTTCTGCTTGTCTCCTTGCACTATGACCTCTGTCTACCCTTCCTGCTGGCACAAAGGAGCCACTAGGAATGACATCCTTGTTTCTCTGCAATACCTGAGTCAAAAATTTCAAACTTTACTTCATACAAGTTATCCACATCATGTCTCATCTACTCCATTAGAAGGATTCTTCAATGGTTTACACATGTGTGTGCGCGCACACACACACACACACACACACACACACACACACACACACACACACACACACACACACAAAGCTTCCCCTTCTCCAGTCATCTGCTGATGTCCAGCTGATACGCAAAATAAAACAACTGGGACATTTAACCTTTAAAGATGCCCAAGAAACTGAGAGGCAGACAAGCACCCAACTAGATAAGGAAAAAAGAAAACTACAGGGAAATGAGTTGTTAAAAAAAGGTGAAAAAGGGGTGGGGGATTTAGCTCAGTGGTAGAGAGCCTGCCTAGCAAGCGCAAGGCCCTGGGTTCGGTCCTCAGCTCCAGAAAAAAGAAAAAAAAAAAAAGGTGAAAAGGAAGAAGAGTCATTCTGAAATCTAAGAGTGTGGTTTTTCTCTCCAGACTTGCAAGACTGGGCAGTTTTCAGTGTGTGGTGGTGGTGAGGATTTGCATCCTGACCAAAGCGACAGTGACGTCCCCACACCATCCTCACACTCGCCTGAGAACCAGCCGGGTGCCAGCTCTCTGCACCATAGAGGGCTCCTTCCCTTGCCCCAGTAAAGAGACAAACCCTGTTTTAGAAACCCAGCGTGCTGGCAGTGCTTGCTTATGCTCTTGTCACTCTGCAATGGAGTGAGCTGCTCCTGACTGACAGAAAAGAACGGTTACTACAGGAAGAATCAGAAAGAGGGGGGTCTCCAAGACAGCACTTTTGCCCAGGACTGAGTTTGGTTTCCAGGGCTCCTGTCAGGAGGTGCACAGTCACCTCCAACTACAGCTCCAGGGATCTAACGCCCTCTTCTGACCTCCATTGGCCGCACCACACACACACCTGAAAGTAAATTTCAAAGAAACAAAAAACAAAAAGCAAGGGCCCCTGAAGACAGATTCAGATCCGGGAGGGAGAAGGCCTTACCTGAGGACCCCAGGTCCTCACACGTCTCCCATGTCACATCCTTACAGAAACTCTTGGGAGCTGACACACGCTGCGGAGAGCTGTCTCTAGCCATATCTGGGATGGTCCTCAAGCCCTGAAAAAGTACAAACACACTCCTGAACCCGGGTGACCAGAGTAGGGTGGAATGTGTCCACACACTGTAAAGAGCATACTCTGACCGTATGTGTCACGAGTGCTGAGCTATAGGGGTTCTATTGTGAACTGCCTTCGTGTGTGTGTGTGTGTGTGTGTGTGTGTGTGTGTGTGTGTGTGTGTGTGTGTGTGTGATTAAATAAATAAGATGTCAGGGTGAGGTCGTCGGAGAAAAACAGCTGCCTTCTTCATCAGATCAACCAGACCTCCTTGCAACAGAGCAGCAGGGCAGCCTATGGGTTGATGACTCTCTTAGAGGAGGTGAGAGAGTCACAGGACCCTCACTTGAGACTCAGCCACTCCTCCCAGACATCTGAATGCAGTGCTGCCCTAACTGCACATGGGATGGGGTGGGAGTCCTCCATCTATGCCACTATGGAGAAGCCACTGCTCATGATGGGTGAAGACTTTCCAGTGTGGCACTCTGGGGCCACCCACAGTCCTCCCAGCGTCTCCTGACCCATGCTCTGGAAGTAACTCCAATACACACATTAGTTCTCCTGGGTGAACTTTGGTGAAACTGTACTTTGGTGTGCTGGCTAGTTTTAGGTCAAGCTGATAAAGACAGAACTTCAATTAAGGAAATATTCCCACCAGACTGGCCTATAGGCAATCCTGCAGGGTATTTTCTTAATCAGTGATTAATGTGGGCAGGCCCAGCCCATTGTGAGTGGTGCTACCTCTGGACCCATGGTTCAAGATACAAAAACACAGGCTGAATAAGCCATGGGAAGCAAGCCAGTAAGCAGCACTCCTCCATGGCCTCTGCATCAGCTCCTGCCTCCAGGTTCCTTGCCCTGCTTGAGTTTCTGCCCTGACTTCCGTGGATGATGGACTGTAAGATGCTATATGAAAGAATCCTTTCCTCCCCAAGCTGCTTCTGGTCATGGTGTTTTATCACAGCACTAGAAAGCTAACTGAGACATTTGGTCATCAGTTCCTCATGAGGAGGGAGGATGTTCTCATCTTCTCAGGGAGGAATTCTCCCAGCAGGGGGAACAGGAGGAACTACTGAGACCCTGCCCAGAGTTCTCAGATGCTCACTCTAAATCACACTTCAGTCACCTGAAGAGCTTGTTTGGGACTCATCCCTCCACCCCCTCTATTTGTGCACATGCGCGTGCGCGCAAGAATGTATGCACATGAGCATTTCCCCACTGTCTAAGGAATCATAAAGGGCTGCCTGAAGTTTACCTGCACTTACCCTCAGTGTCTGGAACACAGCATCGCCATCCCAGTTTCCCCCTAACACAGAGCACTTGGGTCTACAGTGCAGGAGCTGTTTTTTCACCATGGCCTGGGAAAACTTTCCTTCACGTAAGTCCTTTGGAGGGAACTTCTGCACAGCCTTTAAGTCTAAAAGATAGTAACAAAGCAAATAGCCCTTATTATTTGTTGTTTGTGGGAGGTTGCGGGGGTGGAGCACAGGTGTGATGTACAGATAATACATGCAGGCAAAATACCCATACACACAAAATAATTTTTAAAAATGAAAAATGAGTTCAATTCCCAGTGACCACATGGAGGCTCACAACCATCTATAATGAGATCTGGTGTCCTCTTCTAGCCTGTAGGAATACATGCAGGCAGAACACTGTATACATAATAAATAAATAAATCTTTAAAAATAATAATACTAATAAATGAAGTCAATGGAGCTGAACAGGTGGCTCAGCGGTTAAGATCACTTGCTGCTCTTCCAGAGGACCAGGGTTCAATTACCAGCACTTGAATGGTGGCTCACAACTCTAACTGTGGTTCCAGGAGAGCTACTGTCCTCTTTGCAGGCACCAGGCATGCGAGTGCTGCAGTGTCCAGATAGAAACACAGGCAAAACACTCACATACACAAAATTATTAAAACGAAAAGACAGAGTGATAGAGGAAGACCTCTGACCCCTGGCCTACATACAAACACACACACAGGTGTGTTCACCTAAACATATGCATGTACACACACATAAACACATATGTATACATATTTTTTTTTTTTAAGTATGAGTTCCTAAGACTGAAAGGCAAAGAAGGGATACAGAGAGAAGTCAATTATCTGTCAGGGGATGGAGCCGTGCTGGAGAGCAGAGAGGGAGCATGAGGATGGCAAAGCCATGCCTAAGAGGTCAGAGTGTCTGCGGGAAGGAGCGGGAAAGAAGGCCAGCAGCAGCCACACTGCCCCACTTCCTCACGCTCACCTGGGCACTGGCCTCTTGTCCTCTTTCTTTTCATCACCCAGGGATCTTCTCCTTGTTCCAACAAGGTGATCATATCTGGCTTAGAAGCACAAAGTCCTAGATCCACGAGAAAAACAGAAAAAAGAAAGAAAAACGCGAGGCGGTCATGCTAGAATGGCTGGACAGACCCAGGCGCTGCAGGGATCAGGGGAGAATGAGTGAAAGACTCCAGGGCCACAGGCATGGGCGGGAAGAGGCGGGGGGCAGGAGTGCGGACTCCCTCACCCAGGGACGCCAGGTTCCTGTAGTTGTCCAGCATCACCTTCCAGTACAGACTCCTCTGCTCCGAGCTGAGCCATTCCCACTCCTCCTGGGAGAAAACAACAGCCACATCCCCAAACGTCACCAAGCCCTGAAATGACAAAAATGCATTGCTGCTCAGCCAGTGTCGATGAACACAGGTGACCACGGGGTTCTTAGATGAACTGTGACCTCCCACCTTGTGCTCAAGCCCTCACCCTAGTCCTTTAGGAAGGAAAAGCATCTGGACACTGTCTTTGTCAGGGTTTCTATTGCTGTGACGAAACACCATGACCAAAAGCAAGTGGGGAGGGAAGGGTTCATTATGCTTACACTTCAGCACTGCTGTTCATCACTGAAGGAAGTCAGGACAGGAACTCAAACAGGGCAGGATCCTGGAGGCAGGAGCGGATGCAGGGGCCGTGGAGGGGGGCTGCTTACTGGTTTATTCCTCATGGCTGCTCAGTCTGCTTTCTTATAGAACTCTGGACCACCAGCCCGGGGTGGCCCCACCCATAATGAACTGGGCCCTCCCTCTGTCGATCATTAAGAAACTGCCCTACAGGCCTGCCCACAGCCCCATCTTATGGTGACATTTATTGAGGTTCCATTCTCTCAGATGATACAGCTTGTGTCAAGCTGACATAAAACTAGCCAGCACAGGCATGTATTCATATAAAATATCTGTGATCAATTTCTAACAATACATAATGAAAGTCAAGTTGTCCTGAGTACCAGAGGTTCTTAGAGCCTGTCTCCACCTTGTGACACATGTATGGCCTGGAACAGCACAAGGACCAGGAAAGAAACCAAGAGAGGATTCTCAAAAGATCCAAACAGTCGATCCCCCAGCTGGGACCTAAGAGTTGTTATTACCTATCGTTTTCACTGCAAGTTCATTAACACTAAAACATGACCTACATTTTTTTTTCTAAAAAATTTTTCTAAAAAAAAAATGTGTGATAAGAATGAAAACCACTATCAAGTTTTAAAATTAATATAATGCCTTTAGGTGCTGACATGGTGATGCAGGCCTGTAATGCCAGCAGTTGGGAGGCAGAAACTAAAGGGCTCCAAGTTTGAGGCTAGTGTGGAATATACAAAGACAGAGAGACAGAGAGATGCAGGCTATTGGCCATGGTAGCACACGCTGATTTCCAGCACTACAGAGATGGAGGCAGGAATATCAGGAATTGAAGGCCATCTCCAACTAAATATCAAGTTCAAGACCAGCCTGGACTGTGTGAGATCATGTCTCAAAATACAAAATTTGGAATGGGATGGGAGAGGAGAGGAGGGAAGGGAAGGAGAAGGGAGGGGAGGGGAATGGAGAGGAGAGGAGAGGAGAGGAGAGGAGAGGAGAGGAGAGGAGAGGAGAGGAGAGGAGAGGAGAGGAGATGGAAGATATTAAGGAAATATTGTGTCTCAAAACGCAAGTTGTGGAATCAGAAGAACAGGGTGGTGTCTTGGTTAGGGTTACTATTAATGTGATGAAACCCCATGACCAAAGTACCTTGTGGAGGAAAGGGTTTATTTGGCTTGTGTATCTGCATTGTAGTCCATCACTGAAGAAAATCAGGACAGGGACTCAAACAGGGTAGGATCCTGGAGGCAGGAGCTCATACGGAGGCTATGGAGTTGTGCTGCTTACTGGCTTGCTTCCCAGGGCTTGCTCAACCTGCTTTCCTATAGAACCCAGGACCACTGGCACCACCCACAATAGGCTTGGCCCTCCCTCATCAATCACTGACTAAGAAAATGCCCTTCAACTCTGTCTCCTGGAGGCATTTTCTTAACTGAGGCTCCCTCCTCTCACATGACGTTAGCTCATGTCAAGCTGACATAAAACCATCCAGCAGAGACTGTATGATGCAAACACACCACAGAGTTACCTTGTTTTTCTTTCAGGTCCACATGTACAGGGAGAAATGTACCATAAATGTAGGGAAGGATACACTCTAAAACAATGATGGAGATTCTTCTCAGAGATGAGGATCCTAGTTGGAAGGAATATCCAGGGAATTTCAGATTTGGTCTTTTCAAACTGTGGGCTGACTGGCAAGATGGCTCAGTGGGTAAAGCTGCTAAGCCTGACAATTTGAGTTTGATCTCTGGAATCTATATGGTGAAAAGAGAGAACCTGCAAGTTGTCCTCTGACCACCCCACTGCACACTGACATTAAACACACACACACACACACACACACACACACACACACAGCCTCTCTCAAAAGGAAAGATGGGGAAGAAGGATGGATAAAGCTATCTTGTCAGCCTTCCGATCTGAGAATCCCTCACTGCGCCAAACCTAAGTCCTCACTCAACCAGTCACAAGCTGAACAACACCTGAGCTGCTCTGCTGGACGGTCTGTGTGATAGAAACCTAAGTTCCCACAAGTCAGAGCCTGTGAATAAGACACCATCATAACGTTAGCCTGCTGCCAAACTCTGAAGGCACTTTAACTCAATCATAGAAAGACAAGATGAAATGTTTTTTGTTTGTTTGCTTGTTTGTTTTGGTTTTTCAAGACAGGATTTCTCTGTGTAGTTTTGGTGCCTGTCCTAGATCTCGCTCTGTAGACCAGGCTGGCCTTGAACCCACAGAGATCTGCCTGGCTCTGCCTCCCAACTGCTGGGATTAAAGACATGTGCCACCAACGCCCAGCAATGAAATAGTTTTTAAGTGATTATCTGTGTATGTGGGTGTGACTCTGTGTGTGTGTGTGTGTGTGTGTGTGTGTGTGTGTGTGTGTGTGTGTGTGTGTATGTGTAGGCCGGGGCAATGCTGTGTTTCTTCCTCATTCATGTTCTGCTTAAAAAAAGAAAATAGGTGTTGGACTGAACTCAGGTCCTCACACTTGCCCTGCAAACGCTTTCCCGGCTGAGCTAGCTCCATAGCTGTTAGTAAACTCCTGATGGGGATTCCCTAAGCTGCAGACTGAAAGAGTCTATGCAGTCTTTGTCATCTGGCAACACTTGCAGAGCTGAGAACTGTTCTGTGAGCTTGAGCAAAACATGAGCCTAAAACAAATGCTGCTCAGCTCTCAACTTTCTGGCTATATCCTGCCACAAAGAGCACTGACTGCTTTTTGGTAGGCATCTCACTACGAAGGATCAACACTAGTGTCCTGAGTTGACCAGAAGCTAAATACCTTTAATTCTCAAAACTCAGCAAGATCTGGCAGTAGAAACCTTCAACTATACTAATATCCAAACATTTCAGTGCAGACACAGTATTTCAAATAGTGTCCAAAGGCAGAACTAGTGGCCATCAGTTGATGCAAAGACACATAACTGGCCTAAGTACCGAGAATAAGTGAATGTCGAGTGCTCAGCCCAGAATGGGACACCTTAATCATTCCCATACCCCAAAGGCTCAGGGCACATTATGGAAAAACTAGAAGACAGGGAGGAGTGCTGTGACATGCTGTGCTGTGGAACAATCTTTTTATACAATATGAATATGTATCACTCTCATTGGTGAATGAAGAGCTGACATGTCGATAGCTAGGCAGGATTTTGGGGGCAGAGGAATGCTGGGAAGAAGGGAGGAGTCTCAGGAGTCATGAGGAGATGCGGAGAGAAGCAAGATGAATGTGCCATGCTAAAAGAAATACCGATATGTGGGAGAGCATAGATAAGAAATATGAGTTAATTTAAAATGTAAAAGTTAGCTAGTAACAAGCCTGAGCTATTAGCCAATCATTTATAATTAATAATGAGTCTCTGTGTGGTTATTTGGGAAGTGGCAGGTGGGACAGAAGAGTCCGCCTACCACTCTGCGTTCTGGATATGACAAGGCTGTTACACTCATGAGCTACTGAGCTGTGGTCACCTGCACAAGACCAAATCAACAAGGGCAGGCAGCAGCCAGCACTAACCGATTCAGTAATTCGCAGAAAAAGAAAATGATATGAAGCAGGGGTTAGGGGTTGGGGGAGGGAGGAGTCTTGGTGTCTATGATTAACATACATGGTTCACACACAAAATTGGCAAAGAGTAAGTAAAAGATACTCTCTTTCAAAATAGTGAAAGGAGGCAAGACGTTGACTATTTATACAGGAACCCTTACATTCTCACATGATCTTCCACAGGCTTTTTACAGGGCCAAGTCCTAGAGTTCCAACTTCGTGATTCTGGATGCTCTGTCTTGCACTCATCTTTTTTTTTCTTTTCTTCAGATTTTTAAATACTTTTCATATATGCTTTACTAAACATCCATCTTTCTATTTTTTTTATCTATATGTTCTTAGAAATTTTTGAATTCGAGAAAATGATGCCTATTTAGTGAAATATGAAAGACCACATTGTGTATACAGCAATGCAGTTTACATTAAGTGGCACCACAATAGAATGGTTTTATAGGGTTTTTTGGTGTCAATTTGGTTTTGGTTTTTCAAGACAGGGTTTCTCTGGATAGCCCTGGCTGTCCTGGAACTTGCTCTGTAGACCAGGATGGCCGTGAACTCAGAGATCCACCTGCCTCTGCCTCCCCAGTGCTGGAAATAAAAGGGCGTGCGCCACCACAATTTTATAGTTTTTAAACAGAAATAAAAAAGGAAAATCTTCAGATTACAAAACTCCTCCCCCTAAAACAATTGTTTTAGAAATCACTTTTTCTTTTTTTGGTTTTTTGAGACAGGGTTTCTCTGTGTAGCTTTGTGCCTTTCCTGGAACTCACTTGGTAGCCCAGGCTGGCCTCGAACTCACAGAGTTTCGCCTGGCTCTGCCTCCCGAGTGCTGGGATTAAAGGCATGCACCATCACCGCCCAGCTAGAAATCACTTTTTCTAAGTGGGCCAATGTAACAAATATGTCATGTCTGGGTCCTATTGCACGCATATCTATTCTCCCTAGCATTTGTGACTGCCTTGTCACCATCAAGGAGACTAGAATTTGGTGACCCTCAAAGGAGAGAAAAGCAGTCAGATGTTTTCTTAAACTGGCAATAATTGGTTCTGACTTCCCCTTTCTGAAACAAAATCTTGCCCTGATGCCTTGGCTCAACCCAAACTCCTGGGCTCAAGACGCTGCTGGGATGACATATGGCAGGATCCTGAATACTTGAGACAACAGAGCCTGCCACCACACCTGGCGCTCTCCCTCCTCCCTTTTATTCTTTTACATTCTCTCTCTCTCTCTCTCTCTCTCTCTCTCTCTCTCTCTCTCTCCCTCCTCTCCCCCTCACGTGTGTGCGTGTGTGTGTGCGCACATGCGCTCACATGCCGGGTTTATGTGTTGAGATCCAAACTCTGGTCCCCCACTGACCTAACCCAAGATTTGAGATTTTAAAGGGTATGATTATGAAATGAGAAGACAATTTTCCAGAAACAAAGAGAATGAAGGTGAAGGGCAGATGTCGGCGATACCGAGGAACCACATCTCAGCCGGCTTCTCGTTATTTTGGGGATGACACAGAAAGAGCTGACATGCAGAGTACTCTCTGGCACCCAGAAGAGAAAGGAGTAGAAGCAGAGGTCACAGAAGCTCAGAGGCATGAGGCCCAGAAGAAGAGATAATGATGAAGGCCTGGTGTGGCTATGTATACCTTTAATCCCAGCATTCAGGAGGCAGAGACAAGCAGATCTCCATGAGTTCAAGGCCATCTACATAGCGAGCCCATGGTCAGCCAAGACTACATAGGGAGACCCTATCTCAAAATCAAAGGAAATAGACAAAAGACGTCCCAGATCCACGTTAGGGAATCTGGATTTCCGCATGCTTTCTTGACTTTCTGTCAACGGGTTTTGATTCTTAGAGATCAAGAGATGTTTTTAAATTTAAAGTTATTTCTAAAAAAACTATTATTACATTTATTGTGTGTGGGTGTATACAAGCACACACATTAATGTCACAAGACAACTTTCAGGAGTCATTTTTCTTTTTCCTACATGTGGCTCCCTGGGATTAAACACAGGTTGTCCAGCTGGGCAGTAAGTATCTTTACTCACTGAACCATTTCACCAGCTCAATTAAAAATTGTGTGGGGGGGGGGTATGTGCCCATGAGTATACAGTTCCTGTGCCCCTGCCACGACCAGCATGCTGAGCAGCCTCCTTTACTGCGTTGAGACAGGGTTTCTCACTAAACTAGAAGTTCACCTTTTTGTCCAGGCTGCTGGGCCAGAGAGCTCTAGAATGCATCTGCCTCTGCCTGGAAATGCTGAGGTCTACAGGAACACACTTGCCTTCTGACCCTGGTACTGAGGATTCAAACGCAGGTCCTCATACTGACAGAGCAAGTGCTCTTACCCACTGAGCCCTTGACTCAATCCCCTAAGTGGGGCTTAGCCATAATATATTTCTCCTATGTTTCTCAAAGAAATCAGGTAGAAAGTTTGCTGCGTTTCTGAATGTAAGAATCCTTCTGAAGCAGGGCTTGATAGCATACACCTTTCATCCCAGCACTCAGGAGAGAGGCACACAGATCTCAGTAGTTCAAGGCCAGCCTGGTCTACATAGTGAGTTCTAAGGCAATCAGGACTATGTAGATAGACCTTGTCAAAAAACAAAGCCCTTCTGAGACAAGTGGAACAACAAAGGGGTACACCATTTCTTCCACCAAGAAAGAACAGTTTCGATGAAAAGGAAGGAGGAGGAAGAGCCCTGATCAGTTTGAAGCTTTCCCTGTAGCCCATCACTCACCAGAGTATGAGGAAACAGCACCCAGGACAGGTCTCTTAAACTGAAAACTTTTCAGAGAAAATAAACATCATTAAGTGTTGAAAAGGCAAGACTATTTCAGGGAGCAGAGAGAAAATGTGACTCACCTGACACCTGGCTTCCAGTTTAGTCCCTGGAGGGGCAGCTTCCTGTTTGCGGTTGATCTCCTGGAGGAAGTTGGTATCTCTGGAAAGCAGAGCTGGGGAAAAGGAAGGACTAGACACCAAGTCTACACAAGACTACACCCTACACGAGCAGGGTCAGACCATTTTGAAAAGATAAGATGAGATCCCGTTATTACCCTGTGCCAGAGTAGGGAGAGGCTAGGATGAGGAGTTTGGTTGTCTCTTTTTTAAAAGTTTATGTGTGTGTGTGTGTGTGTGTGTGTGTGTGTGTGTGTGTGTGTGTGTGTGTGTTGCCTGCATGTATATACGTGCACCACGTGCGGGTCTTGTGCCCATGAAGTTCAGAAGAGGGGATTATATCCCTTGCAACTGGACTTAGGGATGGTTGTGAGCCACCATGAGCCATCTCTCCAGCCCCCCCTGAGAGTTTCATCTCTTGAAGCATGGGCATGGAGACAAGTCTAAACTAAGGTGACCCCGGAGACGTCTACGTCCCCCGCTACACTTCTGCTGTACTGCTCTGGCTCAAAGTTGAGCTTTCAAGGATTGATTGCCGTCTAACATCACACTCAGAGCCCAGAGACACCATCTCCAGCAACAAGGCCTCGAGAACCTTAGGACCTTACCCTCCCTTCACACCCCGAACAGATTCATCTTTGTCCACTCAGCCGGGACACAAGCCACTCACCTTTGTGCGCAGGCCCCGAGGTCACCGCTTCATGCCCGCCTTGGGAGGCCAGGCCACTCTTGGAGCGCGGCCTTCCCCGGGCGGGACGCCCACGAGCGGCTGTAGTTCCCACCGCGGGACCTCCCCCAGCCCTGGGCTTTGTGCAGAGGGTGCCGCGCCCCAGGAGGGCCCGGGGCTCTCGCTGCCCCCCACTCGCCACCTCCCGCATGCCACACGAGGGACTCAAGCTCTCCCGGGCAGGCCGCAGACGCCCTCCAAGGCCGAGACTCACGGACACACCCCCGGACACACCCGCACCCTGCAGGCCACGCCCGCCACGCCCTGGCCAGCCACGCCCTCTCCCTGCCTAACCCGGCCCTGAAGGTTCCGACCCCTAGGCAGTTCAGCCCGAACGCGCCGGAAGTGGGCTTTGCTTGCGCCCAATGCCCGCTGGGAAATGTAGTTCCCAGACGGGAACTCGGTCGCGCCAAGCCAAGCTCAGTCTGTCCTGCCCCAGGATGCTGAGAAGATCAGGACTGTGAACCACTGTTCCCTGCCCGAAACACGGATCGCGCGAGATACAAAACAGTTCCCCAGAGGTCTCTGGGAGTTGAGGTGGCAGTCGGAGCGTTCGTGCGCGGTGGCAGGGCGACCGGAGCGTTGTTTGAGGTTGATTTGACTGAGGGGAGTTGGGAGATGTCGTGAATTGGGCTGGGCTAATGCAGGCCTTGACAAATCCACAGTGGTTTTTGGTTGGAGGTGCTTGTCAGTTTGGGATTTAGTTGCTGCGATCACCTCCTTCCATTCTCCCCAGACCCCCTCAACTCTAATACATGGTGTTCAGAAGGCCCCTCTACATGCACAGCCAGGTCCTAGGTCCTAGGTCTGCAGTCTTTCCTAGATTTTCTTCTGGGATGAACCTTTATAACCAACTGAATCCAGTTAGTGCTCCCTGCATGCACATGGTTGCATGATCATCCACTTGAGCATGGGCAATCTGGTTGGGGGGCGGGCACATCCTCAAAGAAAAATGACTCCCTCTCGCCCAGCTGCCTTCATTTGCCAATAGCTCCTCAGCTAGGTGTGGAGGGGTAAGCCTTTCTGTCCATTCTGGAATATTGATTGGCCCGATCTTGTGCAGATAATCACAGTTCTTGTGAGCTCATGAGCACAACGGTCATGACATGTCCAGAAGCATTCCGCAGCACTCATCGCTACTCTCAGACTCTTACATTCTTTCTGCTCCCTCTTGTATGATGTTCCCCGAGCCTTCAGAAGGTCGCATTTAGGGCTATGGGCTGTTCGTTTTTGTCATTCAATCATCTAAGAGAGTGCTGCCTAGTGTCATAGCTCCAGTGACCTCTTCTCACTATTTGCTATTATTGCACCCACCACCAGCCCCATTTCCTGCCTCTAGATTGGTCTCCTTTTCCAAAGGACTCATGATCTCAATAACTGAATTAAAATGACCTCCTGACTAGAGCAATCCAAGGAAGCCTTGAGACACATGTGCAGAATAAACAAGGTTGACACAATTCAGTGTCACAGAAAAGGCTGTTCCAGAGTCAGACAGACCAACAGCTGAATAACTGATAGACACTGACTGCTTCTTGTCTCTTCAGCGTCTGTTGTCATACTTCATGCTAGCAGAGTACACACTAATTTTGAATCCATCAATAAGGAATTATAGTATAATGGTTCTGTTTCCAGGCAAAGGGACTGACAGCACAAAGTAAGGATATCATATATTCTTGCTTATCAGGTAGCAAACAGAATGTACAACACTAATATAAAGGGATTTACAAACCTCCAAAATATTTGAGAATTAGCACTACCCCAACTATTGAATCAAATCAAAAAGCACATTTTGAGGAAAATATAAAAAATATTTTGAAAGAAAAAAAAAGAATCAATGGGCTGGAGAGATGCTCAGTGTTTAAGAATGCATACTGTTTTTGCAAAAGACCTGAGTTCAGTTGGGAGCTTACAATCACATGTAACTCCAGCTCCAACGCCCTCTTCTGGCCTCCAAGGACATCTGCACACATGAGCACATACCCACACAGAGGCACACATAATTAAAAGTAAACCTTTCTGAACAACAGGACTAGATGATACATATAAAAGTATCATGCAGTATCCTCTAACTTGAATGAAATAGCCAAGTAGATTTTTTTTTTGAATTCTGAAAATCAAATTTTAGAACTAAATGAAAATGGAAGTACATGTCCAGACTTGTGACTGGCAACTGAAGAGATTTTTTTTTTTCAGAAAAAAAAAACAAAAACAAAAACAAGAGTATTCAATGAAGAGATCAGAAAAAAAAAAAAAAAAAGAAGCTCAAAACTAAGCTTCCATCTTAAAAATAAAAATTGGATAAAGAATAACAAAGTAAACCAAGGGCTGGAAAGAGGAAGCAAGGGGCAGACAGACATATATACACACATAGAGACAGAGACAGAGGGAGAGGAGAATCAGTGAAATTCCAAACAGAATATTAAGAAAAATCAATGAAACAAAGAGCTTTGAAAAAATAAATAAAACCCATGCATAGATAGATAGATAGATAGATAGATAGATAGATAGATAGATAGATAAATAGATAGATCCAAACTGCCCAAGAAACAAAAAGGGAAAGGGCAGATGTAGGGGCACATGTCTTTAATAACACTCAGAAGGCAGAAGCAGGCAGATATCTGTGAGTTCAAGACCAGCCTGGTCTATGTAGCAAGTTCCAGGCCAGCCAGGACTACATAGTGAGTCTCAGTCTAATTTTTTTTAAAAAGGAAACAGGAACATATTAATAAAATGAACACATCAATACTTTTCTCAGAGGCATTTTTTTGTTTTGTTTTGTTTTTTGTTTTGAGATGTTTTTGTTATGGAGTCTGGCAAAGTGTTCACTGTTTTAGTTTGTTCATTTTTAGTTTTAGTTTTGTCCTAGGGTCAAATTCCAGGGCCTGACATAAGCTAGGCAAATGTGCTATAAGAGATAAATGATCAAATACTGTAGGCAATGTCATTCCCATTAATAGGTAGACAAAACAAACCTGTATCTTAAAAGAACTCACAAATCACCAAACTTGCTTAAGAAATGGATCATTGGAATAGCCATGTGCCTTGGGAAATTACAAAGTAGTGTCCCTCGTGAACACAGATGTGATAATCCTTCACTTACATTACCTAATAGAACCAAGTAATGTATTTAAGATAGAGTAAGAGAATACTCTTCATTTGTTTTTGCTTTTGATTTGTTTTTTGAGACAGGGTTTCTCTGGGTAGCCCTAGCTGTCCTCGAACTCAGAAATCTACCTGCTCTGCCTCCTAAATGTAGAGTTTAAAGGTGTGTGTCACCACTGCCTGGCAAACAGAATATTCATTATCCAAAATGTTTCAGACCAATAGTGTTAGATTATTTTTGTTAGAAATTTTTCTGATTTGGGATTATGTGCATACCATAATGAAATATTTTAGGGATGAATCCAAAGTCTAAATATAAAGTCCATTTATGCTTCAAAAACACCTCATATAACCTGGAGGTAATTTTATACTAATTTTAACGAAAACAATCTTGCAGCATTGTCACCTGAGAGATTGATTTTTATTTTATGTGCATGAGTGTTTTGCTTTCATGTATTTCATGTGCATTGGGTACATACAGTGCCCATGGAGGCAAGAAAAGAGCATCAGATCCCCTGTTACTGGTGTTACAGACAGTTGTGAGCTGCTACGTGGGTGATGGGAATCAAATCCAAGTCCTCTGCAAAAGCAGCAAGTGCTCTTGACCTCTGAGCCATCTCCCTAACCCCAGGAATTTAACGAATTCCCCCCCAAGTGCCTGCCTTGAGACTTTTATCAGGGTCTAGAACAGATGCTACAAGTGGCCAAGGATACTAATCTGAGGGATATCAAATGAATCTAAGCACACTGAGTTCTTTAGTTCACTTTATTCTTCTAGGTCAATTCTATCTGCACAGTTTCAGCCCTGTCCTCACACAGCTCCTCTCTGTGCCTAGTTTTTCTGTCCTCATAGTTTTAGGAGGCTCCTATGCTTTTGACTTGATCTATGTCCTCTGTCCCTTCATCCTCCATCTCACCTTCCTAGCTCCTTACTCCTGGCTCTCAGAAAACTCTACCCAAGATCTGCTTTACCCTCTACAGAACTTCTGTCTTCCTCTTCTCTCTCTGGACACATGGTTCTGTGTCCTCTATTCCTGCCTTACCCTTCACTCTGTCTCTCCTCTCTGGCCACAGAGTTCCGTGTCTGCCTGTGGAATTCCGCTCCAGTCCTTACAGGACCTGGTTATGCAAAAATCCCTGTTGTCCTCAGTCAGTCTCTCTGCCACGCCCCTAGTCTGAGCTTCATTTGCACAAGAAACAAAGCTGTGCATCTAAATAGCCTGCTTGTCTCCTAGGTTCAGTGGGGGAGTTAGTTACCTAGATGTTCAACAGGTCTGGGAAGCTTAGATGTTTGCCAAATGGTCTATAGTATTTGGGCTCACAAGAATTTCATAGCAGAAAACAACTGAAATATTAAAAACTGGATAACACCAAATATTCCATAATAAATGGCTTGCCCTTTGACAGACCCTTGGCCAGTCAAAATTCAGCTTTAATACACAGCTGAATCTCTACAATATATTCTTGCAGCTGGCAAGAGTAATTTGATATCAATTTTTTAGTTTTCCTATTTTTTTATTATAACTTGTTACATGACTACTTGTGATATCACATAAGCACCCAGAAAGCTTCAGACTTTGGAGCATTTTAGATTCCAAATGTTCATATTAAAGATGCTCAATTTGGATACTTCAAGACCACCTGGGGTTCATTCAGGAATGCAACACTAGTTCAACATTCAAAAATCAATTTATGTAACTTAACATGGTTAACAAGCTAAATAAAAATTAGTCAACCCTGTAGACTTAAGAACAGTGGTTCTCAACCTTCTAATGCTGTGACCCTTCAATACAGTTCTTCATGTTCATAAAATTATTTCTGTTGCTACTTCATACCTGTAATTTTGCTAGTTATGAATCATAATGTAATATCTGATATGCAGGATATCTGATATGCAACCCCTGTGAAGGGGTCACTCAACCCCCAAAGGGGTTGCAACCTGCAGGTTGGGAACTGCTGACTTACAACCACAGAATTATTACCATGATCCAAGAGCCAGGACCTCTACAAGAGCTAAACTCCCAGGGGCTGCCCTGATAGAAGCCGGAGCCTAAAGAATTCAGAGTTTGGGAAGGGATTTGGAAGAGAGGTACCACTAGCAGCAGCAGCAGCACCCAAAGCAGAAAGAGTCAGAAAAAAAAATACCCTGGTTTCCTCCAACTCTCAGTCTTCAATCTTTGTTGTCATTTCGGACACCAATTGGCAAAAGCTTCTAGGAAAAACATCTGCAGACGTAAACTGAAATATAGTATGCAGGGTGGGATGGGGAGAATGGACTTAATGACAAAAAAAGGAAAGGCGCCAGCCCAGTCTACAACGTGAGCTTCAGGATAGGCACCAAAACTACACTGAGAAACCTCGTCTCAAAAAAAAAGGAAAGACAGGCATACTGTCCAACAGAACTTATCATGAGATGGGGTTGGCAAAAAAACCCTCTGGGACAATTACAGTGGAACAGGGCCCCCTATTTTCCTTTCTACAATATGTACTCATCTTCTTGTCTGTTATCTTTTTTTTTTAAAGATTTATTTATTTATTATGTATACAGTATTCTGTCTGCATATATACCTGCAGGCCAGAAGAGGGCGCTAGCTCTCATTACAGATGGTTGTGAGCCACCATGTGGTTGCTGGGATTGAACTCAGGACCTCTGGAAGAACAGTCAGTGCTCTTAACCACTGAGCCATCTCTGCAGCCCTTTTGTTGTTGTTTTTATACAAGGTCTCACTGTGTGACCCTGGCTACCCTAGAACTCTGTAGACCAGGCTGATCTCAGAGATCCACCCACCTCTACCTCCAGGCTGCTGGAAATAGATATATGTGCCACCAAACCCAGCCACAACCCCACTTTTAAAATTTATTTTAGTTATTTATTTGTATGTATATTCATATGTGCATGTCTATGGGTGTGATTGCCCAGGTGTGCAAGTGTGAAGGGTGTAAGTCGACATTGGGGGTCTATCACCTTCCACCTTATATTTTAAGATAGGATTTCATAATGAACCTGGAGCTCACTGTTTTAGCAAGATTGATCTGCCAGAGGCTTAATAATAAACATTAAAAATGTTTCTTTTTAGATCCACGGCCAGGCCCCAGGTGGAGCTCCATGAGTCCAATTGGCGAGAAAGAGGAGGGTTTGTATGAGCGAGAATTGTTGAGACCAAGGTTGGAAAAAGCACATGGACAAACAGCCAAAGGAATGGAAACACATGAACTATGAACCAATAGCTGAGGAGCCCCCAACTGGATCAGGCCCTCTGGATAAATAAGACAGTTGATTAGCTTGATCTGTTTGGGAGGCATCCAGGCAGTGGGACCAGGACCTGTCCTCAGTGCATGAACTGGCTGTTTGGAACCTGGGGCTTATACAGGGACACTTGGCTCAGCCTGGGAGGAGGGGACTGGACCTGCCTGGACTGAATCTACCAGGCTGAACTCAATCCTCAGAGGAGTCTTTGCCCTGGAGAAGATGGGAATGGGGGGTGGGCTGGGGGGAAGTTGGGGGGAGAACAAGGGAATCCGTGGCTGTTATATAAAATTAAATTTAATAAATAAATTTTAAAAAGTTTCTTTTTTTTCTTGACTATACATACACTTGCATATGTTTTCCCAAACAAACTCTAATCTTTTATTCCAATCTTATTCAAAGTTCTAGGCACTTCCCAAAACAGACTCTACATAACAGACCATATTTAATTTCTTTGCACATAAGGAAAGATAACCTTAGAATTATTAAAACGTTTCAATATTATTAAACTTTAAACATACTACATATGCTAATTGTCATCCACACTTCCAGTTTCTAAATTGTTATGATCACCTAAGCCGTATTCCAAATTCCAGAGTTCATAGTTTGGAAATAGCATTTCTGGTCTAACACATTTTCTAAGCACCCCCATGAGTCAGTGTAGTGAAGTCCTGTAATTTTATGTTCTCTTGGTATATATTTAATTAGTTTTAACTTTCCCATGCTAGAAGCATAGGTCAGTCACCCTTGACACCTTCTACCACAAACAGCTCAAGCTGATGCCAAGAGTAAGAACTTAGAAGCATTTCTCCTGTCAAACTGAGCTCCCTGCTCCCACCACTTCTTTAAATGGACTGCTGCCAATGGCCTGGGCACATATGCCACAATGATCACTTTTCACACATGACATGACCTCCCAGAACGCATGCCTGCTTGTTTCAACTCACCAAAAGAAATCTGGACCCTTGGGCCCAATAAAGGCATTGGCTCGCGAATGTCCCCTTATGTCCCTTTACTTCTGTGTATGGCCTCTGTGTCCTCTGCTGGTGTGTCTCCTAATCATTGGAGGGATGTTCTCCATCCAAACTTAATGTACTCAGTCATGTTGCTAAGCATCTCATATGCATTAAACAGACATTTTACAATGAGTTTTAGAAGAGTTACATAAATAACATTTATATTTTTAAAAGATTCTGTGACTGTAAAATTAATAATAAACTTGAAGGAAACAATTCCAATTACAGACATTTGGAAAAGTTCAAGTGAAACAATGGTGTTCTGGAGCACACTAACAGAAACAAAAATAAATGGAAATACTTAGCAGGTATATACACAAGACTTGGTGACACAAAGGAATGCCTGAGATGACTCTGCATCGAGAACTCTCCAGTGATGGACATTTTAAAAACACTGCCTGAAGCCGGGCAGTAGTGGCACATGCCTTTAATCCCAGCACTTGGGAGGCAGAGCCAGGCGGATCTCTGTGAATTTGAGGCCAACCTGGTCTACAGAGCGAGTTCCAGGACAGGCACCAAAACTACCCAGAGAAACCCTGTCTTGAAAAACCAAACAAAAAAAAAAAGAACACTGCCTGAAGACTTCTGCATATTCCTTGCATCCTAAGAGCTCTCTTACCTGTGTGAATTCTTCCACATAGAATGAACAATCTGGTTGAAAGTTAAATTCTCTGATGAATGGTAAAGGTTTGTCAGTGGCTGAAGGATCTGCCAGAGGGGATATAGTTTTAAGGTTTCTTTCCAATGTGACATCTTTGGTGACAATTAAGGGATGACTTTGTTCTGAATGCCTTTCCACATTTATCACATACATAGGGCCTCTGACCTGTGTGAAGTCTCTGATGCTGAGCACGGGATGAGCCATCACCAAATGCCTTTCCACATTCAGGACATTTGTAGGGTTTCTCTCCAGAATGAACTCTCTTATGTCTTACAAGGTAGGCAGTATGTGTGAAGGTTTTCCCACATTCGTTACACTCATAAGGTTTCTCTCCTGTATGGATCTTCTGATGTCTGGCAAGATAGGTACTTCTTTTGAAAAACTTACCGCACTGCTTACATTCAAAAGGTTTTTCTCCTGTGTGATTTCTCTGATGCGTGGTTAGCTGTGAACTTTCTCTAAAAGCTTTCCCACATTCCTTACATTCATATGGTTTTTCTCCAGTATGAATTCTTGAATGGACAACAAGATGTATACTCTGCCGAAAAGCTTTCCCACACTCCTTACATTTATAAGGTTTCTCTCCAGAATGTACTCTTTGATGGCCAGTGAGTGACATGCTATGGCTGAAGGCTTTCCCACAAACATCACATTTGTAAGGCTTCTCACCTGTGTGAATTCTGTGGTGCACAGTGAGGGATGACCCACTGCGAAACGCTTTTCCACACACGTTACATTTGTAAGGTTTCTCTCCAGTGTGAATTCTCCTGTGCAAAGTAAGTCCTATGTGAACACTGAAGACTTTCCCACAATCAGTGCAATCAAATGGCTTCTCTCCAGTGTGATAATGCCTAAAGTGACGAGTAAGGGACATGTTATACCTGAAGGCTTGACCGCACTCAACACACTGAAAGGGTCGTTTGTCATTGTGACACCTCTGATGTTGAGCAAAGGTAGAGCTATCCCTAAAGGCTTTCCCACATTCCTTACACTTATAGGGTTTCTCCCCAGTGTGGATCCTCTGATGCTGAGCCAAGTGTGCAGGCTGCCTGAAGGATTTTGCACATTCCTTACACGTATATGGTTTTTCTCCAGTATGAATTCTTTGATGTACAATGAGGTATGAATTCTGGCTGAAGGCTTTCTTACACTCTTTACACTCAAAGAGTTTCTCATGGGTGTGTGTTGTATGATGTTGAGCAAGGTGATGACTCTGCTTGAAGGCTTTTCCACACACTGTGCATTTATATGGTTTCTCACCTGTATGAATTCTTTGATGAACAGTAACAGATGAGCTATGAGTAAAGGTTTTCTCACATTCATTACATTTAAAAATGTTCTTTCCTGCCCAGATTTTCTTGTATTTTCGTACCTTGGGATTTTTGGAGAAGGTTTTCTTCTTTGACTTGTGACTATAAATATTCTCTTCTACATTGTCCAGATGGACAGATTTCGAAGATTTGGAGTACTTGTAGCCTATTTCTTTAGTGTGAGTTTCTTTATGAGTGACTGTTTCTTTCATGTTAAATAATATTTCTCGATTTGTCATTTGTCTATTAAAAAGGTCTTTACATTTCCACTTTTTTCCAGAAGTGGGACACTCACAACCAAAACTTGTAATTTTCTCCACTGACACATTATCAAACACAAATTGCTTCAGAGATAATTCTTGTGTCTTGTGTATAGGTTCTCCATCTGAAAAATGTAAAATAATAATAATAATAATAATAATAATGTATTCTCTATCATGTGCTATTAACAAAAGAAAACTTGCTGTGGGATGACCCCTCTGGATGCTGTGAATATGTTTTATTCCCATTGATTAATAAAGAAGCTGCTTTGGCCTATAGCAAGGCAGGATAGAGCCAGGCAAGAAATCCAAGCAGAGATACAGGGAGAAGAAGGGTGGAATCAGTGAGAGATGCCAGCCAGCCGCTGGAGGAGCAAGATATATTAGAGCACAGGTAAAGCCACGAGACACACGGCAAAATATAGATTAATAGAAACGGGTTAATTTAAGGTGTAAGAGCTAGTTAGTAATAAGCTTGAGCAATCGGTCAAACAGTTTGTAATTAATATTAAGCCTCTGAGTGATTATTTTAAAAGTGGTTGTGGGCAGGCAGGACAAAAAAGCCTGTGTTTACAAAAACCTCTAAAGTGGAGTAATTGAAAACTATTTAATAAATTCCATACATCACATACAAGTATCTCAACTGGAAAATGTGCAGGTTGTCTCTAAGAATAAGAGCTTTGTAATAATTAATCTTGACTGTCAACTCTACTAGATGAAAAACTGCATTGGAGACTAGTAAATCATGCCTCTGGGTATATATGTGAGGTTGTTTCCAAAGCTGATTAACTAGGGAGGTAATGCCTTTCCTGAAGGTGAGTGTCACTAGCCAATACACTGGAAGACTGGAATAAAGGAAAACTCAGGAGGAAACTCAGCAGCATGGGCAGGCTTCTATTTGCTTTCTCTCACTGCCATAAATAACTAGTTTTCCTTCACCACACCTTCCTCCATGCTTCTGCACTGCAACCATCCCAAAGCCATGGAGCCAGCTGATCATAGATGTAAACCTCTGAAACCACGGGCCAAAACCAATTCCTTTCTCTCTAAAGCTGATTACAGCAGGTATTTTGTCAGAGGAATAGAAACGAATATGGCAGCAGGGAAGAGATAAAAAAGAAAGACAGCATGAGAAAATGACCAGGAAAGCTAAGTATAAGGTGAGGTCCTAGGAGAAGCGGTCTGCCATGATAATGGTACTTGGGGGCAGACTACAAATTAAACTCACTTCTGTAATGCCTCCTATCTTTAAAAATATGTATTTAGCCGGGCGGTGGTGGCGCACGCCTTTAATCCCAGCACTTGGGAGGCAGAGCAGGCGGATCTCTGTGAGTTCGAGGCCAGCCTGGACTACCAAGTGAGTCCCAGGAAAGGCGCAAAGCTACACAGAGAAACCCTGTCTCAAAAAACCAAAAAAAAAAAAATATATATATATATATATATATATATATATTTATTTATTTATTTATTCAATATGTATGGATGTTTTGTCGGTATGTATGTCTATGCACCACGTGCATGCCTGCTGCCTGCAGAGGTCAGAAGAGGGTGTCAGATCCCCTGGAACTGGAGTTATAGACAGTTGTGAGCTGCTATGTAATTGCTGGGAATGGAACTCAGGTCTTAACCATTGAGCCATCGTTCCAGCCCCACGTCTCCTACTTTTAATTGATTAGTATATGCAGTTAATTTTGTTTAACTACCAATATATTTAATTGCTATTGCTTCTCAGAACTCTCTAGAGATGCCCAACAACCACACACACTATGCTTTGTGACTGCCCCCTAGGATTTAAAGGCAACTGTATGGTTATAATTTCACAATCAGACAATAGTGTTCCCAAGGTCCATCCTTTACATGTTCATGTTTCAGTGTACCAAACTTGTTATATCTCATACAACTCAGGCGTCCTAGGAAGAAATTTCTTCATTCATTTTTTACTTTCAACCCCTTAGGAGAAGTGTCACCTTAGGCCAGTTACTATTGGGTTTTGTTGTGACAGTTAGGAAAAGGTATCTCAGTGAGGGACTGTCCCAATAAGAATGCCTTGTGAGCATGTCTGGGGGGATTACCTTGCTTGTCTGAATTGATGTGGGAAGATCCGGCCTGAATATAGGTAGCACCATTCTCAGCTTTGGGGCCCTGGACGGTGTATGAGTAGAGAAAGCTAGCCGAGTAACAGGCATGCATGCTTTCACGCTCTCTGCTCTGTGACCAGCTGTTTCAAGATCGTGCTGCTCTGAATTGCCTACAATGATGGCCGACAGTGTGGACTGAGAAGCTAAAACAAGCACTCCTCCCTTAAACCTGCTTTTGCTAGGCAGCTCCATCCCAGTGACAAAATGGAACCAGCACCTTCTCCTTTGTACAAAACAACTTACCACAGAGACAAGATGGAAGCAGGAGAGGAGAGTGAAGCAGGAGGGAATCCATGCTAAGCGGGGAAACTTCAATTCACACCCAGGACCATAAGGCTTGGGAAGAATTTCTGGGCAGCCTCCGTGAGGAGTTAAGGGCCTCTGAAGGTGGCTGAGCCATTCCCTAAACATATTTCCATCCGCTTCTCCAGTTCTCACCTTGTAATGTGCTTCTCGTCACCTCACCCTTCACCTCCCAAGGCTCCTTCCCACGCTCCAGTAACGAAATTAGATGTGGCTTGGAAATGCAAGCTCCTGCATTAAGAAAAAAAAAGTCACAAAAATAGTCATGTTTTGGGTTGTTTGGGCACATAACTCAGCTCCTTATAGCTGATGGAACACATTTGAAGGACAGACTACATCAAACTCTGGAATAGTCGAGTGGCAGCTGTCAACAGTCAACCCTACAGAAATTAAACATTTCTTATGGGGTGGGGGAAGGACAAAAACCTTAACTCAGTATTTTTTTAAGGACCATCGCAGTATTCAATGAGATACTTTTTAAACAGCCTGCTAGGGGATGGGGTAAAGAGATGGCTCAGTGCTTGAGAGCACACTGCTCTTGAAGAGGAACTACGCTCTGTAGCTGAAGTTTTTTTGGTCCTGTCTGGTTCCCGCAGTCCCATGGTCCTGCAGCCATTTAGACCCAAGTAAACACAAGTTAAAACTGTTTGGACATTAGCTCAGGCCTACCACTGACTAGCTCTTACATTTAAACTCAGCCCATTTTTGTTAATCTATATGTTGCCACGTTTTCTGTGGCTTTACCTGTGTCTCATTACATGTTGTTCCCTAGATGGCGGGCTGGTGTTTTTTCATTTAGCCTTCCACTTTCCAGAATTCTCCTCTCTGCTTATCTTGCACCCAACATGGGGCACCACTTGTTCCTCTAAGAAGTTGTTACCTGCGCCTGCCGGCGTAGGTAGGTACACACTGAGCCAGTCAGTGTAGTGGTGTTTAGCCACCCAAGATTAAACAATAACAGAGCTATGATGCCCTTGAATGTCCAGGGCTGCATGCACACCACACTGACTGGCTCAGCTTGTGCCTACCCTACGCTGGCAGGTGCTAGTAACAACTTCTTAGAGGAACAACACTCAGTTTTCAGCACCACTTACAACTCCAGCTTCAAGAGTGCTCACATCCTCTTCTGTAGGCAATTACACTCATATACACACCTCCCCCCATATATGTATATACATATTTTTAAAATACAAATGAAATCTCTTTTAAAAATTAAAATAAAAATTTTAAAGGCCTGCTAGAGACATTTAGGAGGTTGAGTCAAATGAACTACCTGTCGCTGGGTGGTGGTGGCGCACACCTTTAATCCCAGCACTCGGCAGGCAGAGGCAGGTGGCTCTTTGTGAGTTCGAAGTCAGCCTGATCTACAGAGTGAGTTCCAGGACACCCAGGGCTATGCAGAGAAACTCTGTCTTGAGAGAAACAACATTTTCAGAGAACAGTGACAGAATGCAGAGCCTCTGTAGCTTTTACTTGCAGTATCCATGATAAAATCCACAATCACTGGACATAAGAGAATGGGAAATGTGAAACCATAGCCAGAAAAGCAAAATGTAATCAATCTGCAGTATCACACATGTTAGAATTAGCAAGCAAATTCAAAAACAGCTATGGACTCTACACTTAAGGATGTAAAAGAAAGTATGCTTGTAAAACAATAGACAAACAAGCAGCTGTGGTTGCCTACAGAAGATGTGCACAAAATCAAGCTAGTCAACATTCCAGCCTGGATAGGGGAGGAACTTAGGAGGCTCCACTCCTGAGAAGCTATTGGCAGTTGGTGTCTGCTGAGAAAAACAATTACTGTTCTTTGTACCATGCTTTCTTTTAGGCCACCAACCAGCTCCTAAATCATGACATGGAGACTTCTTATTAGTTATGAAAGCTCATTCTTATCTCAGCTCTTATTTTAATCTTTCTCTTTGTCGACATTGTGCCGCGGGGCTTTTTACCTTTCTTTCCTTCTGTATATCTTACTTTCACTGCTTCTCCTGTCTGGCTGGCTGGAGGCTGCCTGGCTTCTGGCCCCTGGGCGTCTCCCTCTCTTTCTCCCTTGTTCTCTTCTCTTCCTTCTTCTCTCTTCTGCCTAGATTTTTCCTCCTACTTATTCTCTCTGCCCACCAGCCCCACCTATCCCTCTCCTGCCTAGTTATTGGCCACTCAGCTCTTTATTAGACCAATCAGGTGCCTTAGGCAGACAAGGGAAGACAAATGCAACACATCTTTACATAATTAAATAAATGCAGCATAAACAAATGTAACACACCTCCACATAGTTAAAGTAATATTCCACAACATAAACAAATGTAACACATCTATCCATAGTTAAATATTCCACAACAGTTCTTTGGTGATATGGCTGCTGTGGATCGCCCATGCCTCAGTGGATGGCCCTACACTTAAGCACATATGGTCAGCACTAACTGTATTCTGGGGTAATTCATTAATAGTAACAATAATGAGAAAATAAAAGGAGCATGAAGTAAGAAGGGAGCCGGGTTGGTATGTCTCAGTAGGAGTTAGAGAGGGCCTTGAGAGGTGAATAAGAATAAAATACACTATATGCATATAAAAATCTCAAAGAATAAAAATATATTTATAAAAATAAAAAAATTAGACAAATAGGCTGAGAAAATGGCTCTGCTGTGGGATGGTCTTTCTGTACACTGTGAATATGTGTTGCTACCATTGGTTAATAAAGAAGCTGCTTAGGCCTATGGCAAGACAGAATATAGCCAGGCAGAAAATACAGGGAGAAGAAAGGCCGAGTCAAGGGAAGATGTGGAGAGCCGCCAGATGAGCAAGATGTAATAGAACACAGGTAAAGCCATGAGACACATGGCAATACACAGATTAATAGAAATGCATTCACTTAAGATGTAAGAGCTAGCTAACAAGAAGCCTGAGCCATAGACCAAACAGTTTGTAATTAATATAAGCCTCTGAACGATTACTTTATAAGTGGCTGCAGGACCATGGGGCCAGGTGAGACAGAGAAAAGCCACCGGCTACATGGCTCAGTGAGTAAAGCACTTGCCATAAAGGCACAGAGATCTGAATCTGAATTCCCAGGACTCGTGTAGAGCACAACACAGCAGTATATGCTAATCCCAGCTTTCCTGAAGCAGGATGTGAGGTGGTGGTAGGAGAATCCCCAGAAGCTTGCTCACAAGCCTGTCATAAGCTACAGATGAACACCAAAAGGTGGAAGGTGGGGAATGACACCCAAAGGTTTTCCACTGACCTTCACACACACTGTGGCATACACACATGGATGTGCACACATACACACACACACACACACACACACACACACACACACACACACACCAAAACTATTTTAAAAATAGGTAAAAAGGGGGTGTGGTGGTGCATGATTTTCTTCCCAGCACTTGGGAGGCAGATCTCTGTGATAGTGAGACCCTGTCTCAAAAAAGAAAAAAAAAATCTCTCAGTAGAAAAACAGAAATTACAAAAGTACCAAAGAACCAGTTGGAACCTGGAGATGGCTCAGTTGTTAAGAGTATAAACTGCTCTCCCAAAGGACACTAGTTCAGTGCCCAGCACCATGTGAGGAAGCTCACAGCCACCTGTAACTCCAGCTTCTTTTCTGGATTAGTTGGTTAACTGCACACATGTGGCACACAATCAGTGTCTGTCTCCGCCTCTCTCTTACACACACACACACACCTTTAAAAAATAAAGAACAACTTTAATCCCAGCACTTGGGAGGCAGAGCCAGATGGATCTCTGTGAGTTCGAGGCCAGCCTGGGCTACCAAGTGAGTTCCAGGAAAGGCGCAAAGCTACACAGAGAAACCCTGTCTTGAAAAACCAAAAAAAAAAAAGAAAGAACAAAATGAAAAGTCTAAAATTGAAGATAGAGTGATGCTTTAAAGATGACTAGATGGGCTTAACACAAGGTTGAAGAAAGCAAGAATAACCATTCATTCCGGAAACTGATCAACACAAATTATATGATCTGAAACACTAAAGACTTCACAAACTAAACAGATCATCAGAGGCAGAGTATCAAAGGATCCAAGTGCAACCTAAGTTCCCGGGTAGAAGAGAAAAAGTCTACAGTTTCCAAAATTTGGTTAAAGGCATAAATTTAGCCTAAAGTAGCAGTTCTCAACCTGTGGGTCATAACCCCTTTGGGGATGCAGATCAGATATCCTGCATACACACCAGATATTTCCATTATGATTCATAACAGCAGCAAAATTACAGTTATGAAGTAGCAAAGAAAATAATGTTATGGTTGGGGTCACCACAACACGAGGAACTGTATTAAAGGGTCGCAGTGTTGGGAAGGCTGGGAACCACTGGCCTAAAGAAGCTCAAGAGGATTGGGACAAGGAACTTCTAGAGAACAGCAAGCTCATCTAATAACGTATATGGACCCCAGGCTTAGAAAGGTCCATATTAGTCTCTCCAAGAGCAAGCATCTGAAGATATTTTAAGACACTGGGTTTCATTGATTTATCATAAATTAATAAAAAGATTCACATTTGGGGGTCAGTGAGATGGCTTGGTGAGTAAAGGCATTTGCTATCAACCTGATGACCTCAGCTGGTCCAAGTCCTGTAAGTCACCCTCCAACTTGTATGTGGCATACATGTGTGTTCCCCTTTCCCCCCATGTAAAATCAATGTCCCTCCATAAAAAATTAATGTAATAAAAATTTTAGGGCTGAAGAGATGGCTCAGTGGTTAAGAGCACCAACTGCTCTTCCAGAGGTCCTGAGTTCAATTCCCGGCAACCACATGGTGGCTCACAATTACTTGGCCGGGCGGTGGTGGGGCACGCCTCTAATCCCAGCACTCGGGAGGCAGAGGCAGGCAGATCTCTGTGAGTTCTAGGCCAGCCTGGGCTACAGAGTGAATTCCAGGACAGGCTCCAAAGCTACACAGAGAAACCCTGTCTCGAAAAACAAAAAACAAAAACAAACAAACAAAAAAATTTGGACACATATTTGAAAAGTGATATTCTACATTTACAGTGTTGTGGGGATTCACCAGAGAAGACTGCTCAGACATGGGTTTAAGCCAATAGGAAGTCGTTATTAGCCGGCTGGTGACTACACTGAGTGTTTGGGATCCAAGTGTAGCAATGAGTCTTTCTCAGGGTGAGCTTTTGAGTTCAAAAACCATGTTCTGGGTTGACATACTTCAGTTAACAAGAACTGTTAGCCAAAAGCCGAACTACAGAAGCCAAAAAGCAAGGGTAGTACATTTTGAGACTTTTCCAGAACTATATGGATTTTGATGAATTAGGTCTTTGTTTTATTTTAGCTGGTGGTGCATCTTCCCCAGGAATCTGGGAAGGCAGATCTCTGTGAGTTCTAGGCCAGCCTGGGCTACAGAGTGAATTCCAGGACAGGCTCCAAAGCTACACAGAGAAACCCTGTCTCGAAAAACAAACATCTTCCCCAGGAATCTGGGAAGGATTTTCTCAGGGCAGGCCCCTGGGAAAATTCCAATAGTAATTGCCTAAAGATATAACCACGACTATCCAATAATATGTCAAATTCACAGACTGCATCTGAAATTCTCATCTAACCCTGACACAATAAACATAGCTTCAGTAGTAAAAGTGTGGAAGATGCTTAAGTGCAGAGTTCTGGGTTATCCGCAGGGAGCATGCTTACCCACTGAGACCAAGTTCTGGTAGTTCTCCAGCACCACAGTCCTGTACAAACTTCTCTGAGCAGGATTTAGCTGCTCCCATTCCTCCTGGGAGAAGTCTACCGCAACATCTTTGAATGTCACTGAGTCCTAAGACAACACAAGTACATTTACAAAGTTTTGTTACATTTTTATTATTTTGTTTGTGGTAGAGGTAGGAGTTCACCTTGGGAGTCACTAAATGAAAGAAGACACAAAAGACTCCATCTTGTATCATTCCACTTATATGAAATGTCCAGGAAATCCGAATATGTAGATAGAAAACAAATTAGTAGTTGGCTGGGAGTGGGCCAGGGATTAACTGTAAGTGAGCGGCTTAGGAGGTGAAGATGCTTGTGTCCAGGAGTTCAAGGCCAGCTTGGGCAACAAAATGGGCCACCTCTTCTCACCCCAAAACAAAAAGAAAAAAGAAAATAATAAAATGACTCATGATGGGTGAGAAGATATTAAATAAACAAACAAACAAACAAACCCAACACTCCTTTTCTCCTACACCCTCAAAACTTCCTTGATCTCTGATGATCAAAATATGTGGGGATCTGTCTATCTGCAACGAGCCAGCTCTGCTGTGGGCAGCATGTTAGGATTCTGTACATGCGAAGCTCAGGGTCTTGTCTGGCGCCTTATGTCTTACCGACACGTGGTCATGCAATCTCCGCCTTAAAAAGCCACACACGGGGCCCCCACGCTCTCTCTCTGTGCCTCTCTTCCTGTGTTTCCTCTCTCTGTTCCTGCTCTGTTCCCCCAGCCAGGCCTGGCTCCTCCTCCCCCACTTTCCCTCTATTAAAGCTCTAAAAACTAATATTGGGTTCTGCTGTGGCCATGACTCTTCCGCCGATCATCCTTTCACAGCAGGTGACAATTCTCTAATGTAATCCAGTCCTGACATACATTCCATGGACAGTGTTGGATGCCAAAGATTGAGGGTTGGATGTCACAAGGCTTCCTCAAATTCAGACGCCAATTACAAATTCCATGTTATTATTTTTGGGACAGAGAGGGACAGAAATTCATGTAGAGGAATACATGAGAGGGGCTTTGTATGTCCATCTAATCTGGAACCCAATTCAGTAGTGCTGAGATACTTGTTTCCTGTAAAAGAAAACAAGTCTTTTGACAAGAGCCCAAACTGGTTAAAAAATGTACATTCAAGGCATGGTGGCACATACCTATAAACCTACTACTTAGGAACATGAGGCAGGAGGATTGCTATGAGTTTGAAGCCAACCTGAGCTCCATAGTTATATTCTGTCTCCCATCTAAGGCTTAATCATGTCCAACCCTCCTTAACTTTCAAGAACCAGTGACACCAGGCACATTCAAGGTGCCTGCCACGAACTAGTAAGAGTCTATATCATAAAGCAATGTACATAAAGTAGGGAGAGAAAATGTTTGAATGGGCTCTATGCCTCATCATATCTATTATTCACTTACTAGGCAGTTAAAGTTAAGGATGATGTCCTGTGGGAGAAGGGGTGACCAAGCCCTGGGACAGACCATTAATCAGAATTTCCAAAGTAGTGTTACTTAGTGCCAATCATCAAGACCCCTTCTCATGGAGGAGAACAGACATAAACTAACCTGTAACGTGGCTTTCGTTAGTTCAACGGTCATTTCTTGCCTTCTCCTCTTGGTTTCTCCTTTGGAGAACAGCTGTGTCCTGGGAAGCCCAGCCTAGAGGAGGAGAGGGTAGGGAAAGGTCTTCATGGCTCTCCCAGCATCACCAGTGTAAGCTGCTCCTTCCCATTATTTCCTCGCAGCTTTAACCGGTCCAAGTCTACACAGTTGGCTGAGAGCAGGTAGGATGGATGCTTGACCTTCACTGTCCACTTGACTCGATCTAAAATCAGCTACGACACCAAACCGGGAATCAGATCTGAGTCTTGCTCAGCCATTATCAAAGACGCTTCCTCCTGCAGGAGATGGGAACTAACACAAAAACCCACTACTGGACAATGTGCAGAGAGTGTGAGACCTTGGAACACTCATACCTAAAAGGGATGTCTTCCTCAAACCCATCCTCTCGGGGTTCAGGGAACTATGTGGAAGAGGAGGTGGAAGATGGTAAGAGCTAGTGGGGGAATGGAGGACACCAAGGAAATAGTGTCTTCTAGACACAACAGCACTGGCACTCGTATTAATTCACAGAGACTAATGGGGTCCCAGCGCTGAGAGGGCACGTGGACATGGACCCTCATCCCTAACCCAGAGGCTATCTCCAATTGTCAACTACTCGCAAAGGAAAAATTAGGTTTTCTCCCACACTGCACTCAAGGACAAGCTTCATTCCCAAGAGGAGATGGTCAACACAAAATGAACTCAATGATATTTTTGGAAGTTTTTCTTTCTCTTAATGCTTTGTTGTCTCGGCATTGTTTTTTAACCTTATTGGTCTGTTGCTTATATATTATTAGGGTTTCTGATTTTGTGTTTTTATTGTTTTTTTTTTTTTTGTGTGTGTGTATCTGTGTATATGTGTTTCTCATACTTTTTCTTGGTTTGTTTTGTTTTATTCTGGTTTATTTGTTTTATTATTTGCCTGTTTTCTAAGAGAGAGAAAAATGAGGCATCGAGTTGGATGGGTGGGGAGGATCTGAGAAGAGATGATGGAAGAAAAACCATGACCAGAATACAGTGTATGAAAAAAGTTATCTTCAATAAGTAAATAATAAGATCACCTAGGAGACATAATGCTGGGCATGTCTGAGGCTGTTTCCTGTGAGGTTTAACTGAAGAAGCAGATTCACCCGGTAGGTGGCACCATCTCATGGGCTGAGACCTTGGGTTAATTAAAAAAGGGGACACAGAGAAAGTCAGCTCTTGGTTCCTGGTTCTTTGCTTCTAGCCTTCAAAGTCAATGGGACCAGTCTCCTCACGCTTTGTCACCAACACAGTCATTATGGACTGTATTCAAGGCATGAGTCGTTTATTTTGCCAGGGATTTTTGTCAGAGCAATGAGAAAAGTACCTGAGGTAATGATCACCAATGGAGTATAGCAATACAAACATTTCCCATGCACTGGAAGTCTCCTAAATTTTTATCCCCAAACCTCCTTCCCATTATCTGGTCTGACTGTAGATAAACGCTCCCACAAAAGAGCTATTTCTTCCATTTTATAGGCAATGGTGGAATTGTTCCCTTTGGAGGGTTCTGACCCATGATTTGGCACAGTCCGTTTGAAGCCCCACTCCTAAAGCCACCAGAGACAAGGGTTCCTGTCTTCCTCTACCCCAACCCCAGGGCCTTCACTTTCTTCTCACTGTGGAACAGTGGAACCTTAGGAATCAGTTCTGCCACTGTGTCGTCCCCCTCCCAAACTCACTCATTTCTCCTCCTTTCTGACCTAGATTAGAGGGCTCCCCTTTCTCCTGACAGCTCAGTCCAGCTAGTATAGCTTCTGGAATGCTAGGACCTAGGATTCTTACCCCAGCAACACACAACATACAGTTCCAAACAGCCAAACATATAAAGGATCTGACGATGCTGGGGGCTGGAGAGATGGCTCAGCAGTTAAGAGCATCTACTACTCTTGAGGACCCAGTTCAATTCCCAGCACCCACATGGCAGGTCACAACCATCTGTAAACACAGTTCCAGGGGATCCGACGCCCCATTCTGGCCTCCACAGATGCTTGGCCTCTAGGAATACATGTGGTATATAGATATACATTCCAGCAAAACACTCATACACATAAAATAAAAATAAATAAATCTTTAAAGAGAGACAGAGAGAATCTAATTAATGCTAACAAGGCACGGCAGTGCACACCTGCAATCTCAATAATCAGAAGTCTGAGGCAGGAGACTTTCCAGGAGTTCAAGACTAGCCAATGAAACCCTGACAAAAAAAAAAGAAAGAATAAAAGAAAAGGAAATGAAAAAAAGAAAGTCTCCAAGGGATGGCTCAGAGGGCAAAGGTACCTGTGGAGGTAAGTTTGATCCCTAGGACTCACTTGTTGGAAGGAGAGAACCAACTCCTAAAAGTTGTCATCTAAAACAAACACACACACACCCTGGTAATTTATATTTCAATTACTTTCCCACACATTCAAAATACACACTGGTATTTCTCATTCCAGTCAGTCAAATGGGCACACAGTCATGGTGATATATTGTGTACCCTAATAAACTTGCCTGAGGATCAGAGGACAGAGCCAGCCACTAGATTAGAAACAGAGCCAGGAAGTGGTGGCACACACCTTTAGTCCCAGCACTTGAGATCTCACACCTTTGCTTGGGAAGCATACATTTCTTTAATCCCAGGAAGTAATATGGCAGGGCAGAGAAAGGTATATAAGACATGAGGATACAGGAACACACTCTCTTTAGGCTGAGGATTTTGTAGAGGTGAGAACTAGTGGTCTAGTGGTTGCCTGTTCTGCTTCTCTGATCTTTCAGCTTTCACCCTGATGTCTGGCTCTGGTCTTTTTTTTTTTTTTTTTTTAATTAAAAGACCATCTAGATTCGAACAACACACAGTCACCCAGGCCAGACACGGGCATACTCCAGTCCTACTGTGTCTCTCTCATGCACACTGTACTGGTTGGTTTTGTGTGTCAACTTGACATAAACTAGAGTCATCAGACAGGAAGGAGCCTCAGTTGAGGAAATGCCTCCACGAGATCTAGCTATAAAATATTTTCTCATTTAGTGATCAGTGGGTCCTCCCAGCTAATGGTGGGTGGTACCATCCCTGGCTGGTGGTCCTGGGCTCTATAAGAAAGCAGGCTGAGCAATCCAGGGGAAGCAAGCCAGTAAGCATCACTCCTCCATGGCCTCTGCATCAACTCCTGCCACCTGCCCTGCTTGAGTTCCTATCCTGACTTCCTTTGGTAATGAGCAGTGCTGTGGAAGTGTAAGCCAATAAAACCCTTTCCTCCCTAACTTGCTTTATGGCCATGGTGTTTTGGCACAGAACTAGAAACCCTAAGACACACAACAACATACAGTCTTTCACAGCCCTGTTTCTTGCTTACACATGCACATACATACAACTGCGTACCATGACCCTGCTCATTTAACCTCTCTAAGAAGCCCCATGCATTTGTTATTTTATATATTGGCATATCTGGTTCTCATTGCATGACCTTCTTCTAAGGAGAGGTAAAACAAACATTTATTTACCTCAGATAGGGGTACCAATGACAGACCAAAGTAACAATTTCATAAAAATCCAACTTGTTGAACCAATGGATTGATTGGGCTTATTTACAGAGCATAGGTAACCCCCAAACTGCTGCATCACCCCAAAGTCTCTATCACCCTATCATGGATGACATCTTCATGGAAACTGCATCATGGGGTTTCCCTTTTAGTTAATCTTTCACTTCCTATGTCCTCTAACATCTCCCAAGATCACCTGTATCTAGATGGGGCATGGAGTAGGGGTAGCAAGAGAGAGCTTGAGCTGGAATCCCAGATAAGGATCCTGTGACACTCCCTCCTTCTACTAGAGAATATTAACAGTTCTATCACCAATACCAGAGACCAAGCTGTCTCTTGTTCTTCTCAATTACTCACTATGGCTACAAGGTCCTGTTGTCTTAGTGTTCTACTGCTGTGAGGACACCCTGTAACCATGGCAACTCTTATAAGAGAAAGCATTTGATTGGGGCTTGCTTATAGTTTCAGAGGTTTAGTCCGTTATCATTATGGCAGGAACATGGCAGCACACAGGCAGACATAGTGCTGGAGGAGTAGCTGAGAGTTCTACATCCAGAACCACAGGCAGCAGGAAGAAAGAGCCACTGGGCCTGGCTTGGGCTTTTGAAACCTCAAAGCCCATCCCCAGTGACACACTTCCTCCAACAAGGCCACACCTACTCCAACAAGGCCACACCTTCTAATCCTTCTCAAGTAGTGCCCAGACGACTATGCATTCAATCCAACTTCAAAAGTTCCCATAGTCTATCACAGTCTCAACATTGTCTAAAAGTCCAAAGTTCAAAATCTCTTCTGAGACTTAAGGCATTCTCTTAACTGTAACTCTTGTAAAATCAAAATTAAAAAGCAGATCACATACTTCCAACATACATTCGAACAGAATATACCTTAACACCAAAAGAGAGGAAAGAGAGGATACTGAGGAAATACTGGACCAAAGCATAACCAAAACCAGCAGGGCAAACTCCAAATTCTGCATCTCCGTGTCTGCTGTCAAATCCTTCTTGAGATCTCCAAATCCTTTCAGCTTTGTTGACTAGAGCACACTTCTCTCTCTCAGGCTGGTTCCACACTCAATCTGCAGCTATTCTTGGCAGGTATCCCATGACTCTGGCATCTCCAGCATCTTGGGGTCTCCAACACAATCCCAGCTTCACATTCCCAGCTTCATGTAATGGCTCCTCCAGGCTTCCATGTTGGGACACCCCTGACACATGCCTGGCCTCAGCAGCTTTCCTTAGCCATGGAGAGAGACTCCATAATGCCTTTCTTCTATCCTTGACTCTAAATCTAGAATCACATGGCCAAAGCAGCCAAGTTCTGCTGCTTTCCGGGGCTGGAACATGGCCCCTCTGTTTAATTACACCTTCATCAGTTTTCCGGTTTTCACAGTTTCATTCACTGCTTAAGCTTTTCTTTAATTCCTTTTCATAGGCTGAAAGTTTAGCTAGGAGGGGTGTTGCCTTGAGGTCGACAGTCCCTTTATTCCATTTAGCATCAAGCTTTCCTTTAAACTTTTTATGTCCTTGAGCACTGGCCTTAACTCTATTACACTTCCTGGAGCCTCTTTTCTCCTCAAACTGTACATTTTTTAAATTTTTTCTTGCTCAGCTTGCTCCTTTTCCTTATAGATATGCATAAGAGTGACCACTAGTAACTACATGACATAGTCAATACTAGGTTCCTCTATCAATTTCATTCATCCAAAAGTCTTTGATTTAGCCTCAGGCAGATGTTTTGGACAAGGGAAGTAGCCACATTCTTTGCCAAAAGATTACAAGAGTGATCTCTAGGCCACTCACTAATGTTCTTCTCCTCTGAAACCTCTTGAGTCAGGCCATCTTATCACTGCTGTCTTCCCTGCTCCTACTAGTATGGTCCATTAAACTATGCTTAAAGCGTTCAACTTCTTTCCTAATCCAAAGTCCCAAAGTCCACATTCCACCAAAAAGCAGAATGGTCAGGCCTGTCACAGCAATACTCCCTGGTACTAACTTCTGTTTGGTAACAGACTGCTGCTGTGCACATCCTACTTTATGATTTGTGGGTCAGATAATACCCATCCCATGGTGGACAACTCAGGTCCCATCACCATTACAAATGGCCAAGTTATCTCTATTGCTCTTCTGAATTAGTCGATATGGCTGCAGGGTCCTGATACACGCTCTCCAACATGTCAATGATACAATCATGAAAAACCCAAAGGAAAAAGCCATACAACACTTATACCCAGGCAAGATTCATACCCTCTATTTTCTCAAAATCAAGTCTCTAATACACACACACACACACACACACACACACACACACACACGCAGAGTTTGATGATACAGAGAATACACAAATTCAGTTTCTCTTCTTTGCAAAAACATTTCTGAAGTTTTTCCAAACACATCCAGCAAACAGGTCTGCAGAAGACACAAGCTGGGTATCTTTTCATCGAATTCAGTTCTGGGGCTGTCAGGTCACAGACCCCACAGGTTGAGGGCTCAGCCCCTACAACTACCTTTTGATTCTGATGCTAGGTGCAAGGTCTCACCTGTGCTACCGAAGGACTGGCTATAAATCAAAGTTTTCTACGAGCCCCTCATAGCTCAATCAATTTGCCTGAGTAGCTCCCAGAACTCAGTAAAACCCTTGTTTACCAGATCATTACAAAGAATATGTTTCAAGGTATATGAAGAGCTGGAGAGACGGCACAACAGATAAAGTTCTCATTCAAGCTTGAAGACCAGAATTCAATTCCCAGAACCCACAAGCAAAGTTAAAGAAAAGAATCAACTCCACAAAGTAATTGCACACGCCAGGAAGATCAGGGGTTCAAAGTCATCCTCTATTTATATAATGAGTTTGAGGACTGCCTGGGGTACACGATACTGCCTCAAAACAACAAAACTGGCCTTCGGTGATTAACTTACCCTTCTGCCCCTCTCCTCTCCCGGTAGGGGTTTGAGGCTGAAAAATCCTATTCCTCTAATCTCCTTTGGCGTCTGCGATGATCAGCCCCGACCCTAAAGCTGCCTTGAGTCTGCCGGCCATCAATCACGAACGGTCAGTAAGATATATTCATTACTTTGGAGATTCCAAGCATCTCAGTGCTGTAATGCAGCCCCCCGGAAGATAGACCTACCACCATACGCTTCGCAGTCGTCTCACACTCACACCACTGATTTCTCTCAGACCTGCCTTCCTCTCTCACACACTCACACGAGCGTACAGTCACACTGAAAACTCACAGCCAGCCCAGTTCGTTTCACACACACAGTCCGGCCTGGCACACCGAAGCACGCACTTAGATCCAGACCTCCCCCACCCCACCCGCGCCCCCCCCACCCCGACCCGGTCCTGTGAGCCCTCGCGCCCCCTGATTCCACGCATCCGCCCCGCCTACCGCCAAGGACGCCGGCCTCTGGGAAACGCGGGGATTGCGAGGGCCTCCCCTGCCCGCAGCGCTCGCGCTCGGCGCTCCGCAACCACCGCCTCAACTCGCGCTCCTGCTGCCTTCCCCGGACGGACGCTGTCAACCTAGGGACGCTGGGAGGGAAGAGACAAGCTTTCTGTGCGCAGGCGCAGCCTCTTCCAGCCACAACAGAGAAGGAGCGGAGTCCGGGAAAGGCGGGGCTTAGCGTAAAAGGGGCGTGTTCCCAGGGAAGACGGAGCCGAGAGGCGGGTCGTAGGGAGAAAAGCGGTTTTCTTAGTCGGACGTGAAGGCGAGGCTAGGCAGAGCTGAGGGGCGGGGCTTGGAGAAGGGGCGGGGCTTGCGAAGAAGGGGCCGGCTCTCAGTGGAGTCAGTGGTGAGGGCGGCGCTAAGCGGAGAAGGGGCGGGTAATCAGCGGTCTGAAGTGAGGGCGGGGCTTGGAGAAGGGGCGGGGCTTGCGAAGAAGGGGCGGGCTCTCAGCGGAGTCAATGGTGAGGGCGGTGCTAAACGAAGGGGAGGGATCGTAGCGGGATTAGGTGAGGGGCGGGATTTAGCGAGTAGGGCGGTTCTCAGCACATTCTGAAGTGAGGGCGGGGCTTGGAGAAGGGGCGGGGCTTATGAAGAAAGGGCGGGTTCTCAGCGGAGTCAGTGGTGAGGGCGGCGCTAAGCGGAGAAGGGGCGGGTAATCTTCAGTCTGAGGCGAGGGGCGGGGCTTGCGGAGAAGGGGCGGGTTCGGCGCTAAACGGAGAAGGGGGGCGGGATCGTAGCGGGATTAGGTGAGGGGCGGGACTTAGCGAGTAGGGCGGTTCTCCGCGCAGTCTGAAGTGAGGGAGGGGCTTGGAGGAAGGGCGGGTTCTCAGCGGAGTCAATGGTGAGGGCGGCGCTAAGCGGAGAAGGGGCGGGTTCTCAGCGGAGTCAATGGTGAGGGCGGCGCTAAGCGGAGAAGGGGCGGGTTCTCAGCCGTCTGAGGTGGGGGCGGGGCTTAGGAAGTAGGGCGGGTTCTCAGCCGTCTGAGGTGAGGGGCGGGGCTTAGGAAGTAGGGCGGGTTCTCAGGGCAGCACGAGGTGAGGGCGGGGCCTGGATGAGAAGGGGCCAGTTCTCAGGAGCGTCAGAGGTAAAGGGCGGGGCTTGTGAAGAAGGGCAGGTTCTAAGGCTGCTCTTCTACAGGAGGGATGAGAGCCGGGACATTGTGTGACTGAGTGCGTGATTATGCAGAGCGGGATGCCCAGGTCTTCTGGGCGGGTCAGTTAGGTCAGTTAGGGCGACTCGGGCGCCGGCTCTACGTTAAGCTTCCCCCTCTGCCTAGAGACCACAAGCGTCCCTAGTTACCAGACGCCGCAGAGGCGCGAGCGCTACTCAAGAAGATGTCTCCTTGATATCTGGTTCCCTGTTACTTCACCAACCTCGATGCTTGATGTTAGTGTTTGAGGCTATGATGTTTTTTTTTTTTCTTTTTGAGGGAGGAGATATGAGGTGATCTCTAGCCCAGACTAGCCAAGGGTTAACTTTGAACTCCTGATCCTTCTGGATCTCTCAAATGTTTGGGGTTAAAGGAGTGAGCCCGCGACACCAAGCTTGGAAGTTTGATCTTTTCGGGCTCAGCTTTGCCACAGCAAGAACAGCCACTATTCTGCATCTGATCGCCTCCTCCCTCCCACTCATGTTGATCACCACCTCTGTGGCCAACAAATCAGCATATTTTTTCACCTGCAAAATGGGAATGTCACTATTAGTGTTGGGAGCAGTGACTACGACAACGTCATAGGAACCAAAATACAAGTCAGGCTTTTTCTGCTCTTTGCCAAAGTGGAAATTATCCCTGCCTTTGAAGGACCAAGAAATCAATACTTGTATCAAAGCTGAAATAAATAAAATGAGGCCATTTGGACGAAGAAAGAAGGAAAGAAACAAACACAATTCCCTGACTTCTTAGATCTTACGGCCCATGGATGGAGACAGACCCAACAAATGATGAAAAAAAAGGGGGCTATATAAAAATACAAAGAAGGAAGTGTGTATCACACTTTTCCTATTTTCTTCAGTTAACATTTCAACATCTTTGAAAACCTTTTTCATAAAAGATATCTGTTGGTCATCATCAACCCTGTCTTGACTCTACCTGGAAATCAAAGGCTTGGCCTCACAAAATCCCCCACTATTTGTGATGGAAATCCCAAACTTTGGTTATTTTTGCCTGTGTTTCTGAATCTAAAGTGGGGTTTCCACCGCCCTCACTTCTTGAGTTCTATTAATTTGCTAGAATGAGAGCTATCAAGGAAACAGGGTTTTTTTTTTCCTTCTTGTTGTTCATTATAGGAGACTTTAAAGGACATGAATGAACAGGTTGAGATATTTAAGACAAAATCCAGAAGGACCCTGAGAATTGGAGCTTCTAACCCCACAGAATTGAAGTGTGTCACTCACCCAGCACGTGGTCTTTCTGAAATCTTCGAAGTATTTTTGTGTGTGTGGTGGGGGGAGAGAACTAAGGCTTCATTAGGTAGGCATGATTGATTTAGTCATCGGTTACTGTTAATCCTTTATCCCCCACCCCCTACCCCATAGAGCTGTGAGTTATAGCTGTCATAGTACTTGATTGATTCTTCTGGCAACTAACTAGTTCCCTGTAGTTAGCTCCCCTAGTCACGTAAAGACCTTAGCAGATCACTGGGTGATCTTGCTGGGTGTGGTGGCTCATTCCTGTAATATCAGCACTTGAGGAGCTGAGGCAAGAGAATTGCCACAAGTTCAAGGCCAGCTTTGGTTTCATAGTGAGTTTCAGGCCAGCCTAGGCTAGAATGATGATCCTGTTTCAAAACACGTTTAGCTCCTAGGAGCTGGAGATGCAAAAGTGAAGAAAAAGTAAACTTGCCAAACAAAACTTTTAATCACCTCATTTGCAGAAACTCATAATGATTGAAAAGGCCTTTTTATAATTAACAAAAGACTATCTTTCCACTCCTTGAAATGTGGAAAGGATAGGTGGGTGATAGAAAGGTAAAGATAAATATATAGTAGCTGAGTAGACAAATATACATGGATTAATGATAGATGGGAAGACAGATGATGGATGACTAGCTAGGTAGACAGATGGACAGACAGACAGAAACCTCCTCGTTGGTCTCACCATCTAGACATTTTCTCTTCTGCTTTCTGCACTTTTTCATGTTCCTAGAGAGAGGACGGGATGGTCTAATCCTAATCCTGAGGTAAGGGACAGGTATATCAAGCTCCTTGGGTGGTGGTTTCTACAGTGGGGGAGGGGATGCTGGAATCTAAATGGCACACTTAAACCATGGTGGAGGGAAGGAAGCTGAATTGCACCGAATCCAATGTCTATTGAAGTTGTAGAGGTAGCTCAGCGCTAAAGCATGATAGTGATGAGCCCATGGATTGGATCAAGGGAATAAAAATATTAAAAACCAACCAAACAAAACTGGGATGGTGCTCACCTACAAATCCAGCCTCACCTACATAGTGAGACCCTGGCTCAACAAAACAATGTCTAGTAAAACTTATTCTTATTTCTGTCCTGTAAAGCTGTCCACAAGGGATCAGAAGATATTAGAAGATATTAATCTAATCAGGGGTTGACACAAAAAGACATGAGTTTTTAATAATCTTTTGGTAAAAGCACCAAGGTAGTGAGGGACGTTTCACAGTACCACAGTGCCACCTGCTGGTAAAAGTGTTCAAATACACCTTGTTTGTTTTGGTTTGTTTTTTTTTTTTTTTGAGACAGGGTTTCTGTGTAAGCCCTGACTATCCTGGAACTCACTCTATAGACAGAGATTGGCTTAGGACTCAGAGATCTGCCTAGAGGCCTCTGATGGGATTAAAGGCATGCACTACCACACCAGACGCCTTTTTTTTTTTTTTAAAGAGGGAATATTGTTGCCCAAACTGGCCTGGAAGTTCTGGGGTCCAGTGATGCTCCCTCCTCAATCTTCCAAATAACTACTCCACATCACCATACCCAGCCAACCTGCTTCCAACATGTGGGTTAGTTTGGGGCCTCTTACTAAGATGTTGCTCTCATAAGCCAAACCTTTCTCCCATGCTTCCCCAGACCGGACACACACACATTCTGGGACCAGTTAGCCCAGACTCAATGCCTTGCAAAGCAGGGATTCCTTAATCCACTGACAACAGTGTGTTCACGTACTCAGTAGGCCTGGCTCCCAGACCAATTCTAATTTCGCTGGAAGGGATGATGGGAAACATCCTTCCCATGGACTCCTAAAAGGCCACCCGCTCAATGGGATTTTGATTCCCAGAGGTCTCCCTAAGAGCCTCGGTCCAATTCACTGATGAGAACTGACAGTCAGAGGCGGTTCAACGGTGTAAATGGTGACAGTTGTCCAGACCCAGCACAGTTCTCAAGCTGGGTTGCAGGGAGTGAGGCTGCACCCTCTAAGTACCTACTGTTAGATCTCTAGCCGGGAGAGAATCTTGTGGCTGTATGCACCACCACTACCACCCCCACAACCACCCCCCACCCACCCCCACCACCACCCCCCACCCACCCCCACCACCACCCAAAAAACATGGACAAGATGCTCATCACAAATTTTTTTTTTTTTTCTGGAGCTGAGGACCGAACCCAGGGCCTTGCGCTTGCTAGGCAAGCGCTCTACCACTGAGCTAAATCCCCAGCCCCCTAAAATGTGTATCCCAGGCTGTCATCGAACTCCAGATCCACCTGCCTCTGCCTCCTTCAGCAAATCCTACCGGCCTGCGCCACCAGAACTGGCTCATCACAAATTTTTAAAGCATCAGAAATTCAGAAGCAACCTGAATATTTGGCAACAGAGAAATGGAGAGACAGCCATTTTCTTTTCTTTTTTTTAAGATTAATTTTATTTATTTATTTATTTATATTTATTTATTTATTTATTTATTTATTTATTTATTATTGTTTTGCCTCTATGTCTGCCTGCAGGCCAGAAGAGGGCTCCAGATCTCATTACAGATGGTTGTGAGCCACCATACGGTTGCGGAGAATTGAACTCGGGACCTCTGGAAGAGCAGCCAGTGCTCTTAACCTCTGAGCCATCTCTCCAGCCCCCAACCATAGCTGATTTTCACAACGTCAGCGGATATGTGAACATACAAAACCTTTCTTTTGAAAAATCATGAAGACACAAGTCAGAAAATACTGCAGAATGTGATTGCCTTGCTGAGGTTTTAAAAAATTAGGTATGTCTTTTGGGGTCGTGGTACCGTGGCAAAATAGCAAGGAAGAGCCTAAGAATGTGAGATGTCACACACTAGCTACTCAGGGTACATAGGGTGTGCTACCTAGGCTAGATTTTCTTTTTTTTCTTTTCTGTTTTTTTTTGTTTTGTTTTTTTGGGGGTTTTTTCTGTTTTTTTTTTTTTTTTTTTTTTTTTTTCAAGTCAGGGTTTCACTGTGCAGCCTTGGCTGTGCTAAAACTCACTCTGTAGACCAGGCTGGCCTCAAACTCAGAGATTCTCCCTACCTCGGTCTCTGGAGTGCTGGAATTAAAGGTGTGTGCCACCACCACCCAGCGGATAGATTGTATTTCAATTGGACCCAAGCTAGAATGATCTGAAGAATCTTAACTGACTCTGCCTCCCGAGTGCTGGGATTAAAGGCGTGTGCCGCTGCTGCTGCTGCTGCTGCTGCTGCTGCTGCTGCTGCTGCTGCTGCCGCCGCCGCCGCCGCCGCCGCCGCCGCCGCCGCCGCCGCCGCCGCCGCCACCACCACCTGGCCAGCATTATTTTTTATTATTGACTGATGTGGGAGGTCTAGATCTGGCACTAGGTTGGGGCATCTCTTGGAGGATGCAGTAGTAACTATTTGTTCCTTCACATTGCGTGCCATCAAAGGCCCTTCACCCTGAAGGTTGTTTTCTTGTTGCAAATCAGTTTGATAGGATAGCATTTCTTTCATTAGAACATGAACTTCTTTTCCAGAAGCCCCCCCAAAGATCCCAACAGCCAATACAGAGAAACACTTGCCACTCTGAGATGCACAGGAGGCTGGAAAATTCGAATCCACTATCTTCAGATTTTGTTTTGGTTTGTTTTTTGAGATAAGTTTCTCTGTGTAACCCTGGCTGTCCTGGAACTAGCTCTGTAGACCAGACTGCCCTCTGCCACCATGCCCAACCTATCTTCAGATTCTAAAGCAAGAAGCAGATGCTAACAATAACTGGGTATGGCTGATGAGTAAGCAGCTAAAATCTACCAGTGACACAAGACCAAAGGATGGCCCAAAACCAATCTAGATATGGAGAAACTAAGAAACACCGTTCAAAATCAAGACTGTTCCTGAAATAGGAAGAAGTAACTGAGAGTAATGTAAGAATCAGACACAGGGCAGTGTGGGATATTCCTTTGCCCTGTGTGAATATATGTCACTGTGAGTAAGTTAATAAAGAAGCTGATTGACCTATAGCCAGAGAGGTAGAGGTTAGGTGGCACTGGCAGACCAAAAGAGAGCATGAAGAAGAGAGGAGCTTCAGAATCTCAAGGAGATGCTCAGGAGATGAACTTGTCATACCGAGAAAAGGTATCAAGCCATGTGGCAGAGCATAGATAAGAAATATGGGTTAATTTAAGAGTTAGATAGTAACAAGCCTGAGCTAATGGCCAAGCATTTACAATTAATAAGTCTCAGTGTGGTTATTTGAGAGCAGCTGCCAGGACAGGGTAAGAAGGCCTTTTCCTACAGATTCCACATCTTCTGGTCTAGAAGTCATGAGAATACACTGTCTACAGAGTGTGACTGTTTTCAACAGGAAATAGAGCCAGACACTGTGCCACAGGCTTTATAATCCCAGTTCTAGTGAGACTGAGGCAAGAGGGCTGCCCCCAAATTAAAGAGCAACCAGGGCTACACAGCAGTACTTAGCTCAGGCCCCAATTACATAAACAACTAAATTTAGAAACAAGTCCTTGGCCTGCAAAAGGATGTAAAACTACTTTTTTTTTTCTTTTCATTTTATCTGTTGACTGGGTGCGTGGTAGTTTCTTTTTTTGTTTTTTTAGACAGTGTATCAATATGTAGCCCAAGCTGGCCTTGAACTTGAGGCAATCCTCCTGCCTTAGCTTCCCAAGACCTGGGGTTATAGCATGTACCACTATGCATGGCTGTTTTACAGTTCTGAATCCTTAGCGTGTTTGAGTACTCATTCAGATTTCCAGATATAAGCATGTATTCAAAACCTGTAAACCATTCCTCTGGGATTTAAAAAATGTGTGTGCTTTGAATTATGAAAGGGGCCAGTGAGACTGCTCAGTGGGTAAGCCTGGTAATAAGTGGGTAAGCTAAGCTCAGCCTCTGGAACCCACATAAATGAGTGACTCCACAAAGTTGCCCTCTGATCTCTATACACACACGTGTGCACACACACACATACACAGAAATCTTTATAAAATTCTTTTAATTCCTCTGGAGATAGCTCTTGGGGGTGGGGCTGTTGTTTTATGACAGGGTCTCACTGTGCAGCCAACTGGCCTGGAACGCACAGAGATCTACCAGCCTCTGCCTCCCAAGTGCTAGGATTCAAGTGTGTTACCACACCCTGGATATAGCTTTATTTCTTACCTTTCTTAGCATGTAAAATTATCCATTTGTTCTTTTTATTGCCACACATGGTGTCTGCAGGATTTATCTCCTTGTTAACCCAGGAGTAATTTGGCTTCCCTGCGACTAAAGCTGGGCATGGTGACACATACTTTTAATATCCCAGCATTCAGAAGGCAGAGGCAGGCAGATCAGGAGTTCCAGGCCAGCCCGGTTTACATAGCAAATTCTGGGCCAGCCGAGCCTACATTAGAGAGACTGTATCTCAAAAACAAAACAAAACAAAACAAAAAAGCCACATAAAAATCCCATGACTAGATTCTGGGGAGTGTTGGGAGACAGAATTATTTCCAACCTTTCCCTGTTAATTGATTTAGAATTAACTCTGAATTGAGGCATCTTATTAGCAGTACATTCAGCTCTCCTTTCTCCAAGATGCACAGGCCGTAATCGTCCTATGCTAATGGGCTCCTTGTATTACTTCCATTCCTGTGGTTGCTTGCCAGCACAAACTCCCTGATGATTAACAGTGGGTAAGTGCCGAGGGACGGCTTTTCTACATTTATTATGTTCACACGCGTTCCTCTATTGTGCCGTCTGGGAGGCTGAACAGTAGCTGGATCGTGACTTACGCTCCTGCCACATCCCTTGGAGGGCTTTTCCTTGGAATGGCTCACCTGATGTTGACTCAGTTGTGAGCAATGGCTGAAGGCCTTCCCACATTCCTCGCACTCGTATGGCTTCTCATGGGTATGGATTTTATGATGGACTGTGAGATGTGAGACCCGCTTGAAGGCCCTACTGCACACCTTACACTGGTAGGGTTTCTCCCCAGTATGAATTCTCTGGTGTTGCTTAAGCTGCGAGTTCACTCTAAAGGTCTTGCCACATGCCTTGCACTCATAAGGTTTCTCTCCAGTATGAATTCGCCGATGCCGGATAAGAGTGGATCCTTGATTAAAAGCCTTGCCACAGTCTTTACATTCAAAGAGTTTCTTGCCAGTATGAACAGTCTGATGCTGAATCAGCTGAGACCTATGACTAAAGGTCTTCCCACACTCCTTACACAAGTAGGGCTTTTCACCGGTATGAATCCTGTGATGTACTTTAAGATGCGAGATCCGATTGAAGGCCTTGCCACAGTCCTTACATTGATAGGGTTTTTCCCCAGTATGGATTCGCTGGTGCTCAATCAACTGTGAGCTTCGACTGAAGGCTTTAGCACAGTCTTTACATTCATAAGGTTTCTCACCTGAATGAACTCTCTGGTGTTGTATGAAATTTGAGCCAGAATTGAAGGCCTTCCCACATTCTTTACATTCATAAGGCTTCTTGCCAGAATGAATATTCTCGTGCTGGATTAGTCGTGAACCATATTTAAAGGCCTTCCCACACTCCCTACATTTGTAGGGCTTCTCATTAGTAGGAATTCCTTGATTAATACGGAATTCCTTGTGCCACAAGTCTTTTTTGCGTTTATTATATCGACGGGACTTTCTCTGGGAAAAAGTAAGAGGTGCTTGCTGGTTTAAAGTGGGCATTTCCTCGTGACTGATTAACACAGGACTGGCATTTCTGTCTGGATTTCCTGGTTGTCTGTCAAACAGGCCTTCGTCTTCCCCATCATCCTGGAAGCGCGAGCCCTCAAGACGACAGCTTGCAAGGCCTCCCATTATCCCCCACCGGGGCGACTCGATTTCATTAACGTGTGGCTTTGCAGACAGTATTTCGGCACCGTATCCAGATTCCAATGCTGACAAGGAAGTGAAACGGAAAATGGTTATTTTTCTTTTTCCAGGAGAAGAACCTACAGTGGAAGCTGGCAGGTTCTCAGGGGGATCACCAATGAGAGACACACGCCTCTGATCACGCCGCCTCCCTGCCACTGCTCAGCATTCTTGTCAGGGTTCCCAACTTGGCGATGTCTATCTCACACAAGTGGCCCATGAGGACAGCTGGAGAAGCAGAAGCCTTCACACATGCGACTGTTTGGGGGAAGATTTCTTTCCAATGTCTAGCCAAGCAATCATGGGGGGAGGCAGGCATGAAGAGTCATTTCTGTGTTTGTGGGTGATCTGGCCGAGCAAAACATAGCTAAGATTGCCCTTGGAACCACCCTGATGTTTATTAGATTCTAACTTGTGTTGGGGGCCCAGCACCTATAATTAATTACCTATTCATGGTTTTATTCACTATAACTAATGACCTTTCTTTGTTTTTTCTTTTCTTTTGTTGTTGTTTTGTTTGTTTGTTTGTTTTGGTTTTGTTTTGTTTTTTTGAGACAGGGTTCCTTTGTGTAGCCCTGGAACTAGCTCTGTAGACCAGGCTGGCCTCAAACTCACAGCGATCTGTCTGCCTCTGCCTCCCAAGTGCTGGGATTAAAGGCGTGCACCACCACTGCCCAGCCACTAATGACCTTTCTAATAAATCCCTGTCAGACTTTTAAAAAGTATTGGAAGTTCCGACACCTAAACTCTCTTGACTAAGGCTAAGCAATCCGAAATCAGGCAAAGAGAGAGGTGGAGGAGGCAACATTAGAAATGAGGATTGGGAGGAAAACAGTGTTGCGCTGGTTCTAAAACATCAGTGTAGCTCTGAGCCATGTTTAGAAACACACTAGCAGATTCCACAAAAACAAATATAATCAAGAGTGACTTCTGCCAATGGCCAGCTTCCCAGTAGGGCTTCAGGGGTTGTGTAGGAACAGGTACAAGAACCCATCCTCTTGATTTGGTGGTGGTAACACAGGCGTACAAACCTGCCAGCGTTCATCAGTACTGCACGTAAGAGGTGTACATTTTATCCAATGTAAATTATACTCTGCAAAACTCATGCGGATTCTGCCGGATGCACTGAGGAGGGATCAGGTGATGGTTGCCAATGTTCTTAATATTGCTGAACTGTATGCTTAAAGAATGGTTAAGGCGGTAGCTTCTGTTATGTGTATTTTATCATACCTTTAAAAAGAAATGATGGGAGGGGTGTGTGACTGGATCCTTGACCTGCCTGAACACTTAAGGGCATGTGTGGGAGAAAAAAAATAAACCAAGGGCACGCTGACACACTTGTCTACCAGGACATGGTAACAAAACAGCAGCTATCCTTTGGTACATCCGGCCACCACCTTCTCCTGTGGTTTCCTCTAATCTGAAACGTAAGTAACCACCATGGCCACTGCCAACTCCGGAACTTTGCCATTATTTAAAAGGAATGTTGGAAAAAGAATGGCCTTGTGTCTCGTTTAGAGCTCAGTTTACTGGGGGATGAGACCCTTCTACAACATCATGTTTTGCTCTTATTCAGATTATAAGCAAAAACTGCCTGGGGGTTAGGGGGCAGGCAAGATAGCGCAGTGGGCAAGTACACCTGCCACGAAAGCCTGACGACCCGAGTTCAATCCCAGGACCCAGAAGTCAGACGCCCCGGCTCCCATCTGTAATCCCAGCACTCCTACAGTTAGAGGAGAGGCAAAAACAAGAGAATCAGCTGGAAGCTCTGGAACTATCCCGGATTGCGAAGCCTGGCCAAAATGAGAAGCCTCTTCTCAAAATGAGAAGCCTCAGGAAGGTGAGAGACCCGCTCCCAAAAGTTATCCTTTGACCTCCACACAGTTGCCTCAGCATGCGTGTACTGACATTCACACACAATAAAGGAAAATACTTTTTTTTTTTTTGGTTTTTCGAGACAGGGTTTCTCTGTGTAGCTTTGCGCCTTTCCTGGAACTCACTTGGTAGCCCAGGCTGGCCTCGAACTCACAGAGATCTGCCTGGCTCTGCCTCCCGAGTGCTGGGATTAAAGGTGTGCGCCACCAACGCCCGGCTAGGAAAGTACTTTTTAAAGGCTCTGTGGTGTACTTCATCCAATCCTACCTGGCCCATGAAGTGGCGAGCTACACCGTAACCACAGCAACCGACCTCACTGAGTTAAAGACTCATTTATATGATGGTGCAAGGAATCATGGGCCAAAGTGACGACTGCTTCTGTGTATACTCATAAAGCTCATGAAGCGGATGGCCCCAGAGGACCACACAGACCCTGCGTCACATCAGTTTCACTTTATTTGTGCATGGACTGAGAGAAAGCTACAGGGGTATACAAAAAGGTCACAAAATAGAAAAGTAATGGGTGTCTACTGGGGTCTAACCACATGGAGAGACAGACTCCAAATATGAGGGTGCCCACCTACATGCTGACCCACTCAAAGGCTAGAACAGCTGGTTATCATGTTACAAAGGAAGGCGGCTAGGATCGCAGCCGGTCAAGGATATTAAACTGCTAGCCTGAGGTACAGAAGACTGTGCGAACAGCCGTGGACACCTACACGGACACAGCGGCAGGAACTGTGGTGACTCTGAGTGCTTGCTCTCTTCCGGCCATGTGGGAAAAACACTTTGGCTACCTCTGTAGACATGCCTTGATGGTCTAATAAAGAACTGAGCGGACAATTAAAAAAAAAAAAAGAAAGAAAAAAGAAAAAAGAAATGTCTTGAGAGCACTCCTTTCTCCAAGATGCCTTTTCTCTCCCAGATCCACCTAGCATGACTGGGTTTACTCCGCGGGCATGTTTCCACTCTTCTAAGTAAGGCCATCCCTAATGCTATACTATATAAAACTATCCGAAGAGTGTTCTACTGGTGATTTCTAGTCCTGCTTAACTCATAAAGCCGCAGATACGGCAATAATACGAAAGTCTCCTGGGTCTCTAGCTCCAGCGCTCACCTGAACACAGGCCTCCTGCCGTGGCCCTCTCCGCTAGCCAAGGCTCCCTCCCTTGCTCGAGGATGGCTATCACATCAGGTTTGGATATGGTAAGACCTGAAGAAGAGGAAAGAAAACACACACACCATATGGTCAGACTGAGAGGCCTTGGAATTCAGATCCAGGGCTCTGTCACTGAGCAGGGAGATAGCTGCAGAAAGGGCGAAAAGAAAACCTAACAGTCGGAGGACCCGACTTCAAGCCATTGGCTGCCTTTTGTACACTCCGAAGTGGCCGGTCGTGGAACTGAAAGGTACCCAATAGCTGACAAGGCAGGGGCATGCCCGGGAAGACCCAGACTAACAGACCAGACCACTTTACCCAGTGAGACCAGATGGCCGTAGTTCTCCAGCATCACATCTCTGTACAAGTCCTTCTGAGCAGGCTCGAGGCACTCCCACTCTTCTTGGGAGAAAGCTATGGCCACATCCCTGAACAGTTCTGAACCCTGAAACAGGAAGTGTGAACGATGCATGACTATTTCATTCAAGGGGGTGTTTCCCAGTGGGATGAGAGGAGCTGGAGGAGGTCTCTAAAGGGGTTGTTCTGGTGAACAAAACAGCTGGGGTTGGTTGTCAACAACAACAAAAAAAAGAGCATGAGGAAGACACAGTGTTAAAATATTTTCATACACACCATTTTGCTGCAGACCACCACTTCTGGGTATAGGTCTAGGGTGAAAATTAAAGGTTAAATGGAGTTTTCATAAATTCTCAATTCAGGTTAGAAGTATCATTTCTATTTTGTGACAAAGATACTTGATGAACTTTTCCCTAAAGATTTCAAGAAAATCTTTTGAAAAAACATAGCCACTATGGTACCACACGCCTATAATATCAGCACTCCAGAAGCAGAAGCAGGTAGATTACTGTGAGTCTGAGGCCAGTTTGATCTACAAACTGAGTTCCAGACCAACTAGTGCTACATAGTCAGATCCTGTCTCAAAAGAAAAAGCTGTGTATCTTAGAAAGAGGAGCTTCATCTTAGTCAAGAGTTTGTTGCCAAGCTCAGTTCACCATTACATCAGAACATAGCACAAGCACCTTCTTCATGAGACAATGAATGAAGAATACTTTCATTGACTGTACAACTTCCTAAATGAAAAGAATAAAACATCCTCATATTTTGGAACCGAAGTACGGATCGAATCTCTGAAGCTCTTCCAAGCTCTAAGAACCCACCCATCAACCCATCAGGCTGAGAATCTCATTTGCTATTCCCATGAGCCTCAGTTCTGTATTTCTCTTGTGCTTAAGCCAAAGCAGATAATGAAGAAAGACCCAAAGGTTTGGTGTAACCTCGAATCAGATCACACTCTGACATCTAATCTCTGGATTCCCAACTAGGTCTCCACTACACTCAAATGTCAATCTCTTCCAGGGCAGGACAACAGACCACAGGCTGAAAGGGTGACGAATGCCACCTCCCTGTTTCCCTGAGTGACCGACCGCTCTCTTCTTTCAAATCTTGGCTCCTACAAGGATGCTCCCATCTCACCCAGGGAAACGGAGGTCTGCTCAGAAAATTTCACTCCAGAATGAATCTATATGTGTCAGAGAAGACGGAGCAATAAGAAAGGGCCTAGCTTGGGCCTGGTGGTGGTGGCATATGCTTTTAACCCCAGCACTCAGGAGGCAGAGGCAGGTGGATCTCTGTGAATTCGAGGCCAGACTGGTCCAGAGAGTGAGTTCCAAGACAGCCGGCGCTACACAGAGAAACCCTGTCTCAAAAAACCAAAACATAGCCTAGCCTATCATCCTACCATCTCATTGACTCCCTAAAACAGACCTCAGGGGACCAGGTTAACTGGTGGGATCTGGGTGGGAAGTTTCAGGATAACAAATATTTACATGATTTTAAAACTCACGAGAGGCATGACTTCCAGGAGTTCAAGGGCTGATGGGTCTTCCTCTTGGGGAAGGACAGAGTCCTTAGATGTCAGAGCTAAAGAAGGAAAGAGGAAACATGAAGGTTGAAGCCTGCCTGGAAGCTCCCTGAATGCCAGGGTTATGTTTGCACCTGTTTCTAACTGCCCATTACCTTACAGAGAGCTAGGAGAAACTGGTACCCAACACCAGCAGCCTACTTTAGCTGCTGCTGGGGAGGTACAGCATGAGTGGTCCTTTCTCCCCCACTTTCCTTAAATTCTGCAGGTGGTGCAAAACTCAGGGGTCCTTAGACCTGTCCCAGTGATGGAGACCCACACATGACTCAAAGGACAGGGAAAGCTCTCCTCACCCAGGGAGTGAGTAAGGAGAACTTGCATAATGTACGTAGTCCTAGACTGGAAATGAAGCATTCACAGGACTCAGCCATGTAATCTCCCACACAGCAAATGGAACCACTCTGAAGTCACCCTGGCTATTTCTCCAACTTCCAAATTCACAAAGAACTCCACAGCTCAAACTGGGCCTACCTTGTGTCAAGAAATAGGAGGAAACTGCCGAGGACAATCAGACAATTAGATGGGCGGGGCCAGGACTCCATCATCAGAACATAAACATATCCTTCCAGAGACACAGCAGTCATATCTGTTGAAGAAAAATGCACGAAATTAGTACATAAATAGGTTAAGACCACAAGTAGGTAAGTGTGGAATCATTTTAGCATAGCCATAATAATAGAATATGACACCAATAATCAAACTTGAGTTTGAGGGGGTAAGAAATGGCTCAGTGGTTGAGAGCACTTGCTGCTCTTGCAGAGAGGACTTGGGTTCAGTTTCCAGGACTCACATCAGGCAATTTGCAACTGCCTGTAACTCCAGCTCCAAGGGATCCCACATCTTCTTCTGGACTCCTCAAGCAACTGCACTCACAATCCCAATCACAAACTCACTCACACACAATCTTTAAAAACAAAATGATATTGAGGGCTGGGCATAGCGACACACACCTTTAATCCCAGCACTCAGGAGGAAGAGGTAAGTGTATCTCTGTGAGTTCCAGGCCAGTCAGTGCTACATAGACTTTCCCTTTCAAAAAAAAATTTTTTTAAGGAAATTAAAAGCATCAGTTATTTGCTGACAGACTTTTCTTTCCTGGCCGCCAGTCCCACGTTATCACACCAAGGATTATATTAATTACAAATGCTTGGCAAATAGCTCAGGTTTGTTACTACCTCTTACGTTTAAATTAACCCATATTTCTTATCTATGTTTTTCCACATGGCTTGGTACCTTTTCTCAGTACAGCATGGCCATCTTGTTTCTATCTGCTGGCGAATACCCAGCTCTGCCGTTCTTCCTCCCAGCAATCTCAGTTTAGCTCTCCTGCCTGTTCAGCTATGGCCAGTCCAGTCACCTTCTTTATTAAAACAATCACAGTGACATATATCCACACAGTGTAAAAGATTATTCCACAGTTATTGCCGAGCGATGGCGCACACCTTTAATCCCAGCTCTCAGGAGGCAGAGAGGCAGGAAGATCTCTGAGTTTGAGACCAGCATGGTCTACAAAGCTAGTTCCAGGATGAGCTACACAGAGAAACCCTATCTCAAAAAACAAAACAAAACAAAAACAAAAAACAAAACCAACAAACAAAACCATCAGTTATTAAGAAGTTATTCACAACTAGATCATTTGCACAATGATAAGAACATTCAGCAAAAAGAAATCCAACCACAACTGGTACAGGGGTTCAAAACAAGAAAACAAAGCATGGAAGAGAAAAACATCCTAGGCGGCTAATGAAATGGCTCACTGGGTACAGGCCCTTGCTGTAAAGACTGACAACCTGAGTTTGATTCACGTAACCCACGTGGTGGAAGGAGAGAACCCACTCCTACAAGCTGTCCTCTGACCTCCACTAGGGTGTTTATGGCACACAATGGCCCCCACAAAAAAAACAACAAAAAATCCAAAGTTTTGTTGTGTTATCATTTAACCACTTCTTGAGTTCACCAAACAAATGCTACCTTGTAAAGGATCATAAAGGAATACCTGTCATGTCACAAACATTTCTAGTTTGTAAGTGAAATAATTATGAAAGGTACTTAGCGTGATGTAATGGGAAGTGCGCCCTTGTTACAAGCACTTTTATAAGCACCATTTCATCACTGGTACAACATCCTATCATAGGGACAGCCTGTGACTCACTCAACATTTTCCCTACTGCTGGGCAACGAACCTAAAACAAGATCATTTAGATGGCCCTAAGTGTTGCTTCTAAACCAGTGGCTCTATGGTTCTAAATGTTTTTGGGGTCCTGCAACGTATATCATATAAAACAAGATCTCCCTTTAAAAGGCTATACTCACACTTGGGTTTGTCTTATTCTTTTCTAAACGTCTGTTAAGTCCTGTGTTTAACCCTGTTTTAAAAATGTAGGGGGCTGAAGGCGGGCGGTGGTGGCGCATGCCTTTAATGCCGGCACTCAGGAGGCAGAGCCAAGTGGATCTCTGTGAGTTCGAAGCCAGCCTGATCTACAGAGCGAGATCCAGGACAGACACCAAAACTACACAGAGAAACCCTGTCTCGAAAAACAAACAAAAAAATGTAGGTGCTGAGGAGATGGCTCAGCGGATTCAAAGAACTTGCTGCCCTTGGGGAGGACCCATGTTGGGGTTCCAGCACCCACATGGCAACTACCAACCTATAACTTCTGGTCTCTGTGGACACTGCATGCAAGTAAAACACACACACACACACACACACACACACACACACACACACACACACACACACACACACACAGTAAATCCTTAAAAAAATTATTTTACTGTAAATATACTTTAATCAACTCAAGATCTGCTTTAATATGTAATAATATATATGTATAATAAAATACTTCATCTCAGGATACACAAAGGCAAACGTAGTGTTAAACGCAAAACATCCTTAATTTCAGAAGGTGGAGGAACCTTCCCAAACTGCCCTAGGTCTACCAGGTTAGCTGAGAAATTGGGCACAAGGGGCACCAACTGAGCGCTAGCCGCGGGGGACGACGGGAAATGTAGTCCAGGACCGGGAAGCCTATGAAAAAACGGTAGGTCCAGGCATCGCGATTAGTCTGAAGGCTGAGATTCTTGGTCCGCGGCGCCTGCTCCCTTACTCACCGCGGAGCTTCCGAATAGCTCCGGACCTCCATTTGTTTCCTCCTTGGTTTGCCTGCCCACTGCCCACACCCGATTACCACCTCAATACCAGCGGACTCGCTGCTCAATGCTGGAAGACGCAAGCGCAGAAGCGCCTCTGGCGCTAACGTCGCAGTCCTTTCTGGGAAATGTAGTCTCCAGGCTGCCAAGCGGCCTAAGCAGGTGTAAGGTGTTTTGTGAGCCACGAGGGGCGGGCCTATGTGCTGAGATGTGGAAGGGTGTTCGAATCCCGTAGTCTTCTTCTAAAGTCGCGCGTGATTCCTTCTCTGGCTATGAGTGCGTGGCCATGGCTGTGTATGCAGAAACTCTTGTGACTATGTCTGCTGTTTGATTTTAATCCTGTGTGAGTTGTTTAGTATGCACACTGGGCACGGTTAACCATAGATGCACACTTGTGAAAATGTGACTGAAAAGTTTTCCATTTATAGAAGATCTGCAGCTAACATTTCAATTAATTGGGAAACGAAACAAAACCCTACTGTTGTACACCCAAGATTGAAGCAAGGTAATTTAGACACCAAAAGATAAGAAATAAACGTTTATTTTTGCAGATGATATGATTAGCCATGGTGTATCTTCACAGGAATAGAGCACTGATTTTTTTGTTTGTTTTGGTTTTTGGTGGTTTTTTTTTAATGTGTGTGTGTGTGTGTGTGTGTGTGTGTGTGTGTGTGTGTCTGTCTGTCTGTCTGTCTGTCTGTAGGAGTGAATGCTGTCAGAAGAGGGTGTTGGGTCCCTTGAACCTGGAGTTAGAGTGCCATGTAAAGCTATGTTGTGGGATATTTGCTGACACCTTGGATTGGGGGGCGGAGCCAGTGACTAGTTCACAGGAATTAGTCATAGAGAGGACAGAAGAGACTTACAGAAAAGAGTAGAGAGGGACTGAGAGATCCAAGGTGTTTTTGTAGTGTTTTGTTTTGTTGTGTTTTTCTTTCTTTTTTTTTCTCTTTTCTTTTTCTTTTTCTCTTTTTTTTTTTTTGTTTTTGTTTTTGTTTTTCAGAGCTGAGGACTGAGCCCAGGGCCTTGTGCTTGCTAGGCAAGCACTCTACCACTGAGCTAAATCCCCAACCTCTTGTTTTTTGTTTTTTTTTCTTAATGCCGAACATCGTTTATTGAAGGAGGGAGGAGGTCTTGAATACAGGTTTACAGCACAATGGGAGAACCCCAGAGGGCAGAAGTTCGCTACAGATGTTTCACAATCTTGCATCTAAGCTGTTAACGCCCATTATGTAGGATACACAGACAAGGAACTTCCCTTAAGCATTCAGGAGGGTGAAACCCGGGAGGGAATTGGCATAGGGAGGATATCAAGGTCAAGGGCAGCAAACAAGGCAACAGTTACCCAAAACGGGGGGCCAGGGCCCTACAGGTCCCCCTTTTACTAAAAAAATGAGCTTCTGACTTAGGTTGCGTGGGACATCAGCAGGTCACCTTAACTGTCATGGAGACGCCTGCCCAGGCCACACAGGCGCTCTGTCTTAGGTTGGTGAGTGCCCCCCAGGAATTACCCGTCTCTGAATACTCATTATCATACAGGCTCAATCATGTGTGAGCTGCAGAGTTAACTGCTGCCAAAGATCTCAAAGTGGCGCTGGGCTTACAATCTGTGTTTGACACAGAAAAGACCAACAGAAGTCCTAACCCACCCATAGCTAGTAGGCTAAAGGTTATTGAGCCATTCCCTTCCTTAACCAGACTTACTGCAAATTGGAGTCCTTGTAAGATGGTATCCCAAAACCACATGGAACTTGAGTTTATAAATTTATAGTTTTAAAAGCCAATCAAAATGTATATAACTATTGAATTAAATTTATCATGCCTAATAAAATGAAAGATTAACTAACTGTGGTAGCTACTTTTGCTGCCAGGGTCTCCACTGTGCTAGCTGTAGTAAGCAATTATGAAATGGTAATCCCAGAAACAGTAGCAGTGGTGGGCGCCATTGCTATAATAGCAACAGCGGCAGCAGCAATGTCAAATTCTCTTCTGGAGCGTGTGGGCATCCACTGGCATGGATACAACTCCAGGAACACAACCGCCAAGGCCCATCTTTCTTGATCCCAGTATGACTTAAGCTGGCAGCTCTGCAAAAGAACAACTAAGAACCATAAAGAAAAAACAGGCAGCTCACAAGGAGCATAATTAATGGTCTTATAATGGCTACATTTAGGCTGATAAATTTTTTTTTTTTTTGGTTTTTCGAGACAGGGTTTCTCTGTGTAGCTTTGCGCTTTTCCTGGAACTCACTTGGTAGCCCAGGCTGGCCTCAAACTCACAGAGATCCGCATGGCTCTGCCTCCCAAGGGCTGTGATTAAAGGCATGCGCCTCCAATTCCCAGCTAGGCTGATAAATTTTAAGGTATCTTCAAAGGGGGCTAAATGAATTTCAGGAGGCCAATAAATGTTGCACAGAGACACTCCTGAAAAGTATGTATTACACCAACTTGAAGAGGATTTTGAAAATGAAAAGGCTTAGCTGGCATGCAACTGTTAACAAATAGAGGTCAGTGACCTTCAGGGTTATCCTTAATCTCCAAGGTGTCTGGGTGACACATTCTCAAACATACTTGAAAAAGCAGTTACCATACATTACCTTCTGGAGAATCCAACCACATGGTTATAGTTCCTAGGCTTACGTTAATGCTTGCCAAAGTTGGCCATATTGGGCTCTCGATCCCCATTGGCATCAGAAGGGGAGAGTTTTTCATGAAGGCCCAATAGGTCTCTGCCATGTTGTACTTCAGCAGTAGCCACAGGGTGCACTCAGCACTCAGGAATCCAAAGAGGAACCTCATTGTCCTGAGGAAAGACACATACAGAACCCCGGGCCCACACCAATACCAGATCGGGGCTCCTCCAAGTGCCAGTAGAAAGATCCTTCCATCGCTCCAGAGGGTGATTTGCAACAGGAGCCCTCCAGTGCTGATCTGCATCGGATACTCCAGCAGAATCCACCAATAAAAAATTTAAAATATGTAAAATAAGGGAAAGAATAGAATGTGGAGAGGAATGAAGAATCCCTATTTCCCCTTTTTTACTTTAGCAAAATATGTTTGTTTGGTTTTTTTTTAATAGTTTAAATTTTTCTTTTTTTATTTTTTTAAATTAATTAATTATTCTATTATCAACTTGATATAGCATAAATTCTTACTTTAATAGTGAAATGTTTCATTGAGGTTTGCTCAGTGATTGAGTAAAACCAAAACTTATTATAAGCCACAGTCATCCTAGGGTCCCCCCTGCTATATAGCCTCCCTGGTTCTGTGGGTTGCAGTCTGATTGTTCTTTACTTTATATCTAGAATCCACTTCTGAGTGAGTACATACCATGTTTGTCTTTCTGGGTAACCTCATTCAGGATGATATTTTCTAGTTCCATCCATTTTCCTGCAAATTTCACGCTGTCATTGTTTTTCTCTGCTGAGTAGTACTCCATTGTGTATATGTACCACATTTTCTTAATCCATTCTTCAGTTGATGGGCATCTAGGTTGTTTCCAGGTTCTGGGTATTACAAATAGTGCTGCTATGAACATAGTTGAGCATGTATCTTTGTGGTATGAATCAGCATTCCTTGGGTATATGCCCAAGAGTGGTATGTCTGGGTCTTGAGGTAGTTCGAGTCCTAATTTTCTGAGAAACTGCCATACTGATTTCCACAGTGGTTGTACAAGCTTGCATTCCCACCAACAGTGGAGGAGTGTTCCCTTTGCTCCACATTCTCACCAACATTGACTGTCATTAGTGTTTTTGATCGTAGCCATTCTGACAGGTATAAGGTGGTATCTCAGAGTTGTAGCTAGAGTTTTCCTGCCTTGTCCACAGTCAGGACAAATCTCTGTCACCCGCCAGTCCCACAGCCGCTCAGACCCAACCAAGTAAACACAGAGACTTATATTGCTTACAAACTGTATGGCCATGGCAGGCTTCTTGCTAGCTGTTCTTATTGCTTAAATTAATCCATTTCCACAAATCTATACCTTGCCACGTGGCTTGTGGCTGACTGGCATCTTCACATTCTGCTTGTCATGGTGGCGGCTGGCAGTGAGTCCTCCTGCCTTCCTGTTCTTTCTTTTCTCCTCTCTGTTAGTCCCGCCTATACTTCCTGCCTGGCCACTGGCCAATCAGTGTTTTATTTATTGACCAATCAGAGCAATTTGACATACAGACCATCCCATAGCACAGAGTCATTTTGATTTGCATTTCTCTGATGATTAAGGATGTTGAGCATTTCTTGAAATGTCTTTCAGCCATTTGTGATTTTTGTTTTGTGAATTCTTTGTTTAGCTCTTTAGCCCATTTTTTAATTGGATTGTTCAGTATTTTGATGTCTAGTTTCTTGAGTTCTTTATATACTGTGGAGATCAATCCTCTGTTAGATGTGGGGTTGGTGAAGATCTTTTCCCATTCTGTAGGCTGTCTTTTTGTCTTATTGACGGTGTCTTTTGCCCTGCAAAAGCTTCTCAGTTTCAAGAGGTCCCTTTTATTAATTGTTGTGCTCAGTGTCTGTGCTGTTGGTGTTATATTTAGGAAGTGGTCTCCGGTGCCAATGTGTTCAAGAGTACTTCCTACTTTCTCTTCTTTTTTGGTTTTTTTTTTTTTTTGAGACAGGGCTTCTCTGTGTAGCTTTGGAGCCTGTCCTGGAACTCACTCTGTAGAGCAGGCTGGCCTCGAACTCACAGAGATCCGCCTGGCTCTGCCTCCTGAGTGCTGGGATGAAAGGCGTGCGCCACCACCGCCCGGCCAATAGAGCATTGATTAAGACAATATTGTATTTTATGTGTGCGAGCCTGGGTGTATGTATGTGCACCCCATGCATGCAGTGCCAACAGAGACCTGGAAGAGTGCACAGATCCCTGGAACTGGAGCTACAGGCAGTCATGCACCACCCTGCGGGTGCTGGGAACCAAATCCAGGTCCTCTGCAAGAGCAGAGAGTGCTCTTAACCACTGAAGTAGCTCTCTGGCTTCAAAGTAAAAATAACTCTTAAAAAAGAAATAAAAGTTACACTGTTTTAAATAGGTGTACTGTTTCCTAGTTGAGTAGTTTCTTCTGTTTAGACATATTGTTCCTGTTTATTTTACTATGATTTTCAC